GATCGAATTGGAGGCAATCTCCCGCTCGCACTCCAATATGGGGAAGCGATCCACAGCTATAGGATGACAAACAAAGGGATTAAGAAACCAAGTAAGAGAATTACAAAACCATTCCAGACTCACCATCGATCTCGCTGTTGGCGAAGGCGTAGTGGAACCACTCGTTGAGGGTCTTGAACTGCGGCGGAAAGATGATGTTCCTAGAGATCCGGCTGACAATGGCCATCGAGTGATTCTGCTGCTGTTGCACCTCCGTGGTCTGTCCCAGGCAGGAGGTGAGTGTCTGGGTGACGAGCACCTCGTCGTCCACTTGCCGGGCTTCCGTCGCAAAGTTGATGGATGGAGACCTCAGACTGAAGAGAGCCCAGGACTTGGACTTGAAGTTGATGCCGTGGAAGCAGGCCAGGGAGATGTTCTGGCCTCTGAGCTCCACAGTGCCGCCGAGGACATTACCATGACGTGGCAGTCGAGTCACCAGCGATGGCACCACCAGGCCCACGGCATGGGCCAGAGGTTTCTGCCAGTGGCGGTGATGCCGGGCATCCGTGTTCTCGCCAATCAAGCCCTGGATTTGGACCGGAGCCGCCAGTTCTCCATTGGCCGCCGTTTTCTTCTTGAACTGCTGACGCCGCTTGATGCTGGCGGAACGATCCTGGAGACGCGGCTCCAGACTTGAGAAGACCCGCTTCGAGGACTTGAACTGCTGCGTGAAGAACTCCTCCAGCTTGAAGTACATCTTGAGGAGATCCGCCGTCGTCGACTTGCTGATCATGATCTGCAGCTGGTCCCACGTGAGGTCACCGTGGATGAAGATCAGAGCTCGCGCCTGATCCTTACCATGCGATGGAGCAGCCGCCGCCTGTGCGGCAGTGCGCCACTCGTCCTTCATGGCCGCGGAGAAGCTGCTTATCCGCGTCATCAGCACCGAAGTGCCCATGTAGTCCAATCGCAGCTCCATGGCCATGAAACTCAGGCCCATGGTGTGGTAGGGCTCCATGCCCGCCTCCTCCTTGATGTGGAAGCGCTTGTTGATCTTGTTAACCTCGAAGCTGCCTCCCACGATGCCGCCCTTGGCGTCCAGGGCGGATCCCCCGAGGTATATGCCGGCGTACATGTTCTTGTATCCGGTGCTTCCGATGGAGAGGCGTCCGTCCGACCGGAAGTCCTTGGTCAGCCACACCACGTTGCCGCACACGTTTCCGATGTTCATTTGCACGTTCAGCTTCGTGAAGTTGACGGCGAAGAGCACCAGGGTCTCCCAGGCAGTGATCTGGTTCTTCTCCGAGGGCGGGGTTCCCGAGGATTCGGCACTGGAGGATTTCCCCAGGTTCTTGAGCTTCCTCACAGCTCCGAAGTGGCCCAGTTGCTGCTGCTGCGTTGGCTGAGCGTCGAAATCCAGTCGCATTTTATCCTTGGCCCTGCTGGCGTCTTCACTGGGAGTCGGTGTCACCGGAGTGGAGGCGTCGCCCTGCTGCTGTTGTTGCTGCTGCTGCTGCTGGTGGACACTGAGGTCGCCCAGGAACAAGCGCCGCACGATCCTCCGACGGTACCAAGCCTTCGGGAAGGCCAGGATCTCAGTCAGGCGACGCATATCGTACTTGAAACTGGCACTGCCAATGTCCACGATGGTAGAGAAGCGGATGACTGCTCGCGACTGGTCCAGGGACCTCTTGGAGCTGGGCAGTGGTTCGATGTAGACCTTCCGGCAGCGGGTGATGTGGAACTTGACAAACTCCACGTTGATGCTCAGCGAGTCCTTGCGTTCGCTGTCGCTCAGCGGGGAGAACTGAGTCTCCTTGGAGGTCTTCTTGCCTCCATACGGATGGAAGATGAACACATTGAAGTCGGCCAGGCAGCCGGTGACACTAAGTCCGCCCGTAGGCAGGGGCTGCTCCGGGTGGCCCGAGTGACCCAGATTCGCCGTGTTCTCCTCGTCGCTGCTGCGCTTGGAACTGAACACGATATCCAAGCTGGGCAGCTGCAGCATGCACTCCACCCGGGACACAGGCAGGCAGCTGAACCGGAAGGTGGAGGGCTGCATGTGGAAGTAGACGATGACGTCCACGGGGAAGGAGGCGTAGGTTACATAGTTGGCAGGCAGAATGTCCAGGTTAACGCCGGCATTGTGGGACGGGGTAGGAGGTACGCTGCTGGGTTGGCGAGCAGGAATAGGTTCCAGTGTTTGCTCCAGGAACTCTAGGATGTGCGGCGAGATGATGGTCTCCTCGGGGATGCTCTGCAAAGTCATCCAGGCACTCAAAGTGGCCCGCTTACTGCCCAACCGCCGACCATGGGGCACTTGCTGCTCCCCAGTCATCTGCTCCGCTAGGGTTCTCGATTGGTAGTGCAGTTTGACATCCAATCCTGGGATATGGAAGATGGTCAGATCCGCCAGCAGGGCGTTGGCATTGTAGCGCAGCTTGCTCTTGTCCCGCTGCCTTCTAGAGGGAGTGGGACTGCCCCAATCGTTGCCGATGCTTCGCTCCCTCTTGTGGGACTTGACACTCGAGGCCGGCGCTGCTCCGCTCGATCCTCCGTAGCCCTGAGCACGCTCATCGCCCGTTTCCTTTGTGTGCAGCACACACTTGCCGGAGTTGACGAGCACCTTGATGTCCAGTTCAAAGTCTATGTTGGGTTCCGGTTGCTTCTGGTTGTGTCCGTGCTTGCGTCGCATCTCCACGGAGGTGCCATCTACGTCTATTTCGCTGGGCGTGACGTCGCCGCGCCAGTCGAGCTCGTTGTCGGCGGTTTCCGTGTCGGTATCCGCATTGGGTAGTGAGGTCTGGCGCATGGCCTCCGTGAACGTGACCCTGCCCAAGGCATTTAGTCCGCGCCCAACTCCTGCCACGCTTCCTCCTCCTCCGCCAGTTTGCTTAAGGGAGGCACTGCGCGAGTGGCAGGATGCTGGAGTGCTCTGCAGGCTAGAGATCTCATCGTTGGAGGCTATGGTGTCCAGCCGTCGCCCAGCGTAGCTGCCATTGTCCAGGGACTGGGGCATGTTCACAGAACCCACTGATCCCGGAGGCCCTGCTCCGATGTAAGAGTGCGAGCGACTGTAGTTCTTGAGGGATCTCCTCAGCGAAGGCCTCTTCCACTTCTGGATCATGTCCCTTCGGAAGTACTTGTAGCAGATGGCCTGGAGCTCTTGGAGGCGCCGCTCCTCGTGGGCCACGGTATTGTGTGAGGCCCCTAGCGTACGCAAATCATTGATGATCTTCAGCTGCTCGGCCATCTCCTTCTCCATCATAAAGGAACGTTTCTTGGAGTCGATGGTGGGATCAAAGACGAAGGCCGGCAGGTTATCGAAGTCCCCACGACGCCGCACGAACGTGTCCCGGCAGCTCTGGTCCCCTTCGTCGCTGTCGGGCGACTCCATTTGCGTCTCGTCCTCCTCGAAACCGGTTAGCATGGTCAGTGTGTGCCCCAGCGAGCTCAGCTGCTTGCCAATGTTCACGTCCAAGTGGATGTCCACGCCCTCCATCTGCCACTTGACGTTGAGTAGCCACTTGGCGTTCTCGCCCTTCTTGGCGGCCGTTGTCCGGGAACAGACCTCGAAGGTTCCCTCGGACACCACGCACACGTTCATGATGGGCTCACCGTTGTTGGGCTTCCAGTCGTCCAGATTGGTCTCAAAATCATCCGCGAAGCGTAGACACAGACCCTGGAACTTGCCCTTGGATACCAGAGCCCCGGAGTTGCAGGCCGAGATAATAGTGTTCTCCAAGGTGATCACCACGGCGCCCTTGGCATCAAAGTCCTGGTAGGAGCGAGAGCCAAAGGACTGAAAGCAGAATATGGAGCTTAATATTTAATTGGAAAGGTTGGACTCTACTTCACTTACCGTGGTATTAACCTGTTTGAGGGGCAGGCAGATGCCCATGTCCTCCACAGTCAGTTGCAGGAACAAGGTGGACAGATTGGAGCTGGCTATCTGACCAAAGGCCACGCGGTCGAAGACCTGCGGATTCTGGTTCTGCTGGGCGGAGGCAGAGCCGGAGCCGGAGTACTGACCATACTGGCTGTGCTGGACATGCTCGTGGCAGAGATTCGCCCGCTTCTCCGCCCAGTACTCGTAGGCATTCTTGTAGTTCAGCCACACCAGGATGGCCTTGTCCACGGCAATCGGTTGGACATACACCAGTGGCCGTTTGAGCGTGAGCAGGATTAGCTCCTTGTCCTCGTTGAGCAGTTCGTCCTGGAAGGCGTTCCTCAAACCAATCGTGGTGTGGAAGAAGGCGTACTGCTGGAACTCCGGCTCAGCCTCGTCGAAGATCACATTCCGGATGATCTGGCCGAGCGACAAGTTAAAGTCGATGTGCGCCTTGAAGAACAGCTTCCGGTTGCTCAAGTCTCCCAGGTTCTTGACGCGATTTGACAGCTGGAGCTCCAGGGTTCCGGTTTCGAAGCGAACCGCCGAGGAGCACGGTGTGGTGGCCGTCAGCTGGATGCGCTTCATCGAAATGTTGATGGAGAAGAGGATGCGCTTCAGGGAGGACTCCTGGACTCCGCTGGCACTGTCCCCGCTCTCCTCCGTCCACAGGGGCACTGGCTTCTCGCCGCCGTAGACCTTCTGGAGCACCTCGTTGATTTCGCGCATAAACACCTTCTGGACAAAGACCAGGTGGTTCAGCAGGTCGGTGGTGAGGCAGCGCTCGAACTCCCCAATCTCGGCACTGGCGTTCACATAGCCACCCTGGCGCAGGACAATGCCTTCAATGTTCTCCGTGTGGTCCTGGCGATGGTCGGGAATGTATTCGGCCAGGACGTGGACAGGCGGCAGGCCAATGCAGGCCTCCGAGGGTAGATTCATTTCGTTCTAAAATTTAAAAATAAATTAATTTTGGCGCCTAAATTTGAAATCATTAACAGAACGTAACAGAAGGGAAATTTAAGATTCTGTTAACAGTTAACAGAGCACTTAACAGTCAAAAGGGACCATTTTACAGTCGAGGCAGAAAAATACCAGCGCCGCCATACCACAGCGCCCTCTATCTGAAAACATTTAGTGTGACCCCAACACCCCAACCCAAATTCTTAAACAAAATAAAAATTGAAGAATAATTTTGACTGTCATTGTGAGTTATTTGGCCGATAATTTACGACAAGATAGTAGGAGATTACGGCTCCGATTAAACCACAAGATAATCTTATCGTCGCGGACGGAACTGCTTATCGTGGCACTTTGCTAAACTTGGACTCCTTTGCAGTTGTTTTCTTGCCGGCAAGATGAAGAGCACCACCCAGATTTTGGCCAAGCTCCGGGAGCTGATGCAGCGCGTCAAGGTGGGGGACACCACCAGCTGCGTGGCGGCGTACATAGTGCCCTCGGACGACGCCCACCAGTCCGAGTACCAGTGCGCCCACGACGAGAGGCGAGCCTTTGTCAGCGGATTCGACGGATCCGCGGGCACGGCCGTCATCACCACCGATTCCGCCCTGCTGTGGACCGACGGGCGGTACTACCAGCAGGCCGAGAAGCAGCTGGACGAGAACTGGGTGCTGATGAAGGACGGCCTGACCACCACCCCGTCGATCGGGGCTTGGCTGGCCAAGAACCTGCCCAAGGGCTCCGCGGTGGGAGTGGATCCCCGCCTGCTCTCGCTGCGGGCCTGGAAGCCCATCGAAACGGAGCTCACCTCTTCGGAGTGCCAGCTGGTGCCGATCGAGAACAACCTGATCGACGAGGTCTGGGGCGAGGATCAGCCCAAGCAGACCAGCAACAAAATCATCAACCTCAAGCTGGAGCATGCTGGCATCCCGGTGGCCAAGAAGTGGGAGGTGGTCAAGAAGCAGTTCCAGGAGAAGAACGTCGAGGCCCTGGTGGTGAGTGCTCTGGACGAGATTGCCTGGTTCCTGAACCTGCGCGGCTCGGACATCGACTTCAATCCCGTCTTCTTCTCCTATCTGATTGTGACCAACGACGAGCTGCTGCTCTTCGTGGACTCCGCCAAGCTGCCCTCGGACTTTGCCCAGCACCAGGCGGAGAATGGGGTCAAGATAAGCGTCTTCCCCTACGCCTCCATTGGATTGGAGATAAGCAAGATTGTGGCCGCCAAGGAGTCCAAGATCTGGATAGCCCCCACCAGCAGCTACTACCTGTCCGCGTTGATTCCCAAGTCGCGTCGCCTGCAGGAGGTCACCCCCATCTGTGTCCTGAAGTCCATTAAAAACGACGTGGAGATCGAGGGCTTCATCAACAGCCACATCCGCGACGGAGTGGCCCTGTGCCAGTACTTCGCCTGGCTGGAGAACCAAATCAAGCTGGGCAAGGAGGTGGACGAGATCTCCGGCTCCGACCAGCTGGAGGCCTTCCGCCGGTCCAAGGACAAGTACATGGGCCTGAGCTTCACGACAATCAGTGCCTCTGGCCCCAACGGCTCCATCATCCACTACCATCCCCGCGAGGACACGAAGCGCAAGATTACGGACCAGGAGGTCTACTTGTGCGACTCGGGGGCCCAGTACCTGGACGGCACCACGGATGTGACGAGGACCCTGCACTTCGGCGAGCCCACGGACTTCCAGAAGGAGGCCTACACCCGGGTCCTGAAGGGTCAGCTCAACTTTGGCGCCACCATCTTCCCGGCCAAGGTCAAGGGCCAGGTTCTGGACACGCTGGCGCGCAAAGCCCTCTGGGATGTGGGTCTGGACTACGGACACGGCACGGGCCACGGAGTCGGCCACTTTCTGAACGTCCACGAAGGCCCCATGGGCGTGGGCATCCGCCTCATGCCCGACGACCCCGGCCTACAGGCCAACATGTTCATCTCGAACGAGCCTGGCTTCTACCAGGACGGAGAGTTCGGCATCCGTGTGGAGGACATTGTGCAGATTGTGCCCGCCCAGGCGCCGCACAACTTTGCCAACCGGGGAGCCCTGACCTTCAAGACCATCACCATGTGCCCCAAGCAGACGAAGATGATCAAGAAGGAGCTGCTGAACGACGTGGAGATCAAGCAGCTGAACAACTACCACCAGCAGGTGTGGGACACGCTCTCCCCGATCCTGCGCCGCGAGGGGGACGACTTCACCCTGGCCTGGCTCAAGAAGGAGGTGCAGCCGATCTAGGCGAGGATTCGAGGAGGATTCTATCCTGATTTTTAATATGTAATCACCGTATCATGCATGTTTGCCACACAACTAATCCTTTTTTTAATCCTAAATCCTTAATCTTAAAAAACAAAGTAACTTTTTTATAAAAAATATAAATGTGCAACTTTTTTAAGCAATTCTGCTTCTCCTGCATTTAGAATTTAAATTTTAAATTCTGACAATAAGTATTTAAAGTTTTGATGAATAAATAAAAATATGAAACTAAAATGGATGGTCCCTAGAGGTAGATCTCCCCCAGACTCACCTGAATCTTGGTGTTGAAGCTGAGCGTGTGGGTCGGCAAGTCGATGACGAACTTGGCCCTCTGGCCGGTCACTCCCATCGAGCTGACATGGTTCATCCGGTACTGGGCCTGCAGCGAGGGCAGCAGCGCCGCATTGATGGACAGGCTCTGGAGCAGGACATTGAACTGCATGACCAGAGGCTGCAGCAGTCCGTTCTGGTGCTGGCTGGCCGTTCCTGTCTTCGACTGGGCCATGTGAGCTGCCCGGCGGGCCGCCTGTTGCGTTTGCTGGTGGAAGGCTCCGCCGCCGCCTCCTCCACCACCCCCGGAGACGGTCCGCTCTCGCATCTCGCTGGCCACGCCGACTCCACTGCTGGCTCCTCCCGAGTGCCGGGCGTGGAACGGCGACTCGGGCTCCTCGGCAGTGTGCGATCGCAGAGTGGAGCGTCCGGAGTTGCGTTTCACCCTCAGCTCCTGCAGCGTGGAGGACAGCTGCTTGGAGCTTCGGGTCATCATGCCGTGCAGAGCCACCGGGTGCTGCGGAATGTCTATGTTGACGGCGCCAATAGAGAGCAGGCCGCTGTTCTTGTCCTTGCCACGCTTCGAGAGGCTCGAGTAAAGGGTCTGGCTCTTGCCCACCGTCACCTTCACCACGGTTCTGGAAAGGAATGGATTTTAAATGGCTGACCCGTAATTGGGCTGTTTTTGGATACTCACTGTTGACTGGGAGCCACTCCCTCCAGCAGGACTATCATGGCCCGGCCCACTTGACCGGTGAGGGAGCACTCCAGGGACACCGGGCGAGCCTTCTTCCTCCACGTAGCCGTGCTGTTAAGCGTAGTGATCTCAGACTCCAGCTTCAGGCCGGAAAGAGTGGCCAGCAGCCGGGTCTTATGGATCTTGGCCACGCCGAACACAATCAGGCGCGTTCGCTCCTGCGATGGACCGTCCACGAGAAGCATTTCCCTATGCTGGGGCAACGGAGTGGGAGCACTGGCCAGGTCATCCTCGTCGTTGGCGAATCCGGCTTGCTTGCTCTTGTGCTCGTTGAGGGAGCTTCGCTGAACCACTGTCTTGGTTTCCGGCATGGTGCCGTACAGCTCCAGCAGATGGTAGATGGTCTTCCAGCAGTTTGGAGTCTCCAGCATGGGAGCCATCGAAGTCGGCATGCCCGCCTTGGTCAGGGTGTTCTGGTAGTCGCCGCTCACACTGGTGGCACAGGCGCCGTTCAGCGAGGCCTTCGACTCGGTGGCCATCTTGAGGATGTGCTGTTCGTGCAGCGACATCGTAGGGCTGTCCCTCAGGGGCGAGGAGCTGGACTCGTTCAGGTTGGTGTAGCCCAGCTTGCCCTTCACGGACTTTCCGGTGGAACGCAGCTTCTGAGCAAAGCTCTGCGGTCGGTTCTTGGCGTTCGGAGATGGTGTCAGCTGGATGATGGGCGCCAGGCCACCAGGACGTGGCCTGGCCGGCATTGTGGGCATGGTTTCGTTGAACTTGTCGTACCGCTCGTCCGAGTAGTTCTCCCCATGCCCAAAGCGTTCGGAGACCGAGTTGAAGGGCAGGATATCCGTGGGCTCCGAGGCTAGAGGAGAGGCCACTAGTTAGTTTCAGAATCATCGGTCGAAGGGATCTCTTACCCAAACTGCACTCATCCTTGGTCTGGCTCTTCTTGCTGAGCTCGGGCTGGTCGTGGAACTCATTCTGGGCATCCTTCACGTTCTGGTACATGTTGCAGATCTGATGAAGCAGCCTCAGCAACGGCATGTTAACCTTAAGGACACAAACACTTTAACTTCAAGGACACCCTCCTAGTAGTCTGATACCCACCTGTTGCGAGATGAATCGCACATTGAGGCTAAAGTTTATCACAGTGCTGGTGTGCTTCTTCATCTGGCGGCGCGACATGTAGATGACGTTCTGGCGGGCCTGGTCCACCATGCCATCGGACATTTTCAGGACCTCTAGCTCGACGCCCACGCGCTCGCACAGGAAGAGGGGTGTGTCCATCATGATGGAGGCCCGACCCCCGTTCGATTTCTTGCTCATCTTTGCCGGTTTCTGGGCCGAGTTCTTCTTGTCGCCCGCCTCGCTGACCACGATGTCCACACGAATGGAATCAAAGGTGCCGATCAGGGACATGTTGGTGCCCAGGTTCTCCAGCGAGGAGATGTCGGCATTGGAGAACTTGTTGATCATCTGCTGGGGCATCACGCCCAAGCACGTGAGCAGTGGCTCAAAGATCAAATGGGCATCCAGCAGCTTGATGGAATCCTGCATGATGCCGCTCCGCGTTTGTCCCGAGTGCCCGGCCATCTTTGGCGGAGCGGGGCGGGCGTGCTCCTTGGTGGCAAAGTGCTCCTTCTTCTTGTTGTCCTGCTGCTTGGCCATCCAGAAGTAAAAGTCCTCCTTATTGTTGCCGGCGTCCTGCCAGTATCTGTTGACAGAGTTGGTCGAACTGAGGGAGCCCTCCTGCAGAGCTCCATATTCTGGACAGGAAAGAAAGTTACACTGTATTATGGCCAAAGGTATATAGCCCAAGGATCTTACCAAATTCGGGAACTTGCTTCTCCACCAGCCCCGAAATAATGGGCAGCATCTGAATACTAGAACGAGACGAATTGCCATGTGAATAATTCGAGGCTTTGCTGTGCACTTTGCTGAGGCTGATGAGTGGTTGGTTGTGGTTGGAGAGAAGAACAGATCACAAGCACGGAATTAATGAGATGTACGGAGATGGGCTAAGCAAGCGGATAAGGATTAGTAGACTCTACACTTACCCCCGCCGTGGCAGATGGATGTTCGGAGACGTGGAGGTCGAGCGCTGGGAGGCAGTGCCCTGGATGCCCGCTTCGTGGTTTCCATACGACAGGCCACCGTACTGATTATTTTCTGTGGATACGCAGCCGGGAGAAACGGTTAATAAGGGAACCTCAAATGACAGGCAAGTACTCTTCAGGAGAAGCACTCTTCCGAGGTGATTGTACACTAAACGTGACTCATTGTGCAAAGTTGATGTAGGATTACATTTCATATAAAGGATTAGACAAGTAAAGATACTACACTTAAGAGAAAGTCCTTCGTTTAATGTACAAAACACGGAAGTTGGATAATTTTAGTTCCATAGAAATAGATATAGTCATAGCCGGAAAGGATAGAAGAGTTGTATTGTATTGTATTGTATTGTTCTGTATTATAATGCAAACGCAAAGCATCAACAGCATGGAGTGATGAACACTTAAAGCGGTGTGTTTATATATGTTGTGTTTCAATTTTGGAGTATAAATATAGAGAAACGGAAACGGAAAGTAGATAGGAGATAGGAGCTAGGAGGAGGAGGATACACACACTCAGACACAATCATAGAGAGAAACAACATTCAACACATGCATCAAAAGAGGGGAGGCAGAGTAGGAGGAGAAGTCTAGAACTATACATATAACTAGGTTAACAAGGAGATAACCAGGAGCGTTAATCAAAAAAATACCAATGTGAGTTCGATGATGCTGTGTTTGCCCAAGTAATAATGCATTCTCACTCTCTTCCGGATTCTCGCCGACGCCAGCAAAGGCGCCCATTTCAACATCACCTTCGCACTCGTCGTTCTCCGCCTCCTCCTCGTTCTGCGGGAACGAGAATGTCACATTGATGGGTCTGGCCAGCTTGTTCTTGTACTGATGCTCGAAGAGAATCGGGTTATACAGCGTGTTCTTCCACTGCCGGCTCAGCACAATGATTCCCTGTAGCGATATACATTGTATTATGAGATGTAGTAGTAGGATCCTAGCAGAATAGCTCACCTGTCGCAGGGTATTCAAGTGCGGCACATCGGCCTGCCTGAAGATCGGCTCGATCCGCTGGACTCCCTCGTCCAGGACCAGTTTCTGCATGATGTAGCACAGCTGGCAACTGGGATCCTCCTGCAGCGTCTTCGATAGCAGCGTGTAGTTGTTGGCATAGCGACTCTGGATAATAAAATACTTGTTATTCTGGTTCTCACTTTTCCTTTTCTGATCCTCCATTACCTTCTTAATTTTGGGATTCCTCTGGATTTTCTCGTTGTCCATGGCCTCCGCCATGAGGCAGGCAGCCACGGCCGTTTGTCGGGTGTGCAGGGCTTTCATCAGAGCCACGATTTTGATGGCCAGTCGATTGCTGGGATTCATCCAGGCTGTGATAGCTGGCGAGGCAGTGCTCAGGAGATTCCAATCCAAGCGCGTCAGATCGATCTTCCGGGTGATGGGAACACAGGGCGGGGCAGCAAAGTTGAACCACACGGATTTCAATTCAATCACGCAGGACGAAGTCTTATCCGTTTCCTTGACATTGGACAGCACCTTGTCGTAGCCATCCTTGGAGTTGTTTCCAGAAGATTTTTGGGCATTGGCAGCTCCTTGGTTGTTGGTGGTGCCAGCTCCCTTCTCCACATCCTCGTCCGGCGGCTTTGGTGTGGACTTTCTTTGGTCACCACTAGAGCTCTCTCCGGCGGCATTATCGGAGGCCTTGGGCGTCTTTGGCGTTGGCGGCTTCTTGGTTATCAGCCGCCAGGCAGCCTCCGCCTTTGAGGTGGCTCCTCCATCTCCGGAAGTCGAAGCTCCAGCACCGTCTCCTTGACCCACCAAATCGTTCAGATTGAAGCCGCCAGGGGCTGCTCCGCCATCGACTCCAGCAGCCGCTCCCGTCATCTCGGCCAGCTCCTCTTTGCTGTTCTCCGACTTTTCGAAGTGCGAACGCTTCACGATCTTCACTCCCACGCCCTCCAATCCGCACTCGAACATGATGTAGCCAATGCTGTCGATCCCAGTGCTCTCCGGCATCTTCAGGCACTCGAACAGCACCTTGCTTTTGTGCTCCGGAATGGCGGTGACTATGATCGGCGAGTCCTGGGCGCAGGACTGGCCCTCGGTCTTCAATCGCCGCAGCTGAGCATGTGCCCGGCCGATGTCCAGCGTGATAACCAGCTCCTCCAGCTGTTTCTCGGACGTCTCGATCAGGATGGGCTCTCCCTGGACATTGTCCGGCCGAGTCTGTGATGAGAGATGGGCCAAGAGGGCTCGCGTGCCCTTCATAATGCCTCCCTTCTTGTGGCTGCTGCCGGACTGCACCGTCTGCTGGATGTAGACGTTGTGCATGGAGGCGCGAGTGGTCTTGCCCAGGTGGAACTTGGTGGAGATGCCCTCCATGTAGAAGGTGAGCAGCGACACACAGCTGAGGTCCTGTTTGGGTAATAAGACATATTTTGAATATTTGTAGTTCCCTTAGGACTTTGGAAATCCTTACCTGCACATTATCCAAAGCGGCCACGGAGATGACCTCCTCCACAATTGAGGACTGCAGCATGGTGATGCTGACCTTGGGCAGCACTATCAGGCCCTGGGTCTTGGTGGAAATGCTCTCCTCGTAGACGTCGCTCAGGAAGGAGTCGCCGGGTCCCTGCAGGTGCCTCTCCGTCGTGGACCGCTTGGAATTGGAGTGCACCTGCGACCAGTAGCTCAGGCTCTGGTCCCGCTTCAGGATGTTGTCGTTGTTCACCTTGGCGATGCACGAGGTGTGGATGAAGTTCACCACCGACAAGAGGTGCATCGACTGGATCGTGGGTATGGCAGCCTCCACCATTCTGTGAGATGAGAAGGAATCAAAGTAAGCATCTTTGTTGAATACCAACATAGGGTGCTGTGGAATCATGATCAACTCCAACCTGACCAAAAATGGTATTTTGTGTAAAGATGTTCCTGCTTGGAATATGCTTGATCGGCAGCCTGTATCCTGCCCTAATCGGAGCGTATCCTTTGGTAAGTATGGATACTTTCTTCATTTAATAGAAATTCTTAAGAAATCTTCTTTAAGGATTCTCCAAGCTTAAGAGATTCCCAAAGCAGCTTGAAGGGTTCTCCAAGGAGCTTAAAGGGTTCCCTAGAGAGCCTTAAGGACTCCCAGAGCAGATTCAAAGAGACCCCGAAGAGTGTCAAGGATTCTCTGAGCAGCTTGAAGGATTCCCTGAGACACGCTAATGCCCCCGCTGCTCCTCTCACCGAGCTCTCCGAATACCCCGATCTCACCAATGGCCTCACCGACGCAGAGGTCCAAGCCACTCTTCAGGATCTAAGCCTGGAGGACCTCAACTCGCTGGAGAAGTTGCTGGACGAGCACTGCTCTCGGGACGAGGATGCAGACAGGGAAGGTGAGTGGTTCCTCTTCCCCAGATATCCTTTCATCAACTGAAGCCTTTCAAAGCAAGCAAGTCTAACGGACCAGGGTAGGAAGCCTAAGCTAAAGTTTGACTCCTTCAAGGACTTGGATCTGGCGCTGGACGACAGCTGTCTGGAGGACGATGACTGCGAGCCATCCTCCACAAAGCGCACCACCACCACCACCGTGTGCACCACCACCGCGTGCACCACCAGGCGTTGCACCAAAAAGCCCACCTGCAAGCCTCACCCGAAAACCACTCGAGTCTGCAAAACGACCACCGCGAAGCCGAAGGACCCGTCTTGTGATGACACTGATCTTCCAAAGCCTGCAAGGCCCAAGATCCATAAGACTCCAAGGGATGAGGAGTGCGAGGCCGATGACTTCATGTGCCTCGCCAGAAAGAAGGAAAGACTGAAAAAGTTGAGGAGCAAGTCGGAGGCCGCGGAGGAGGCAGTGGCACCCGTGGAAGCTCCTGCGGAGTACAAGCCCAGCAGAGAGCTGGCCGGGATTGAACAGTTAGACGAGGAGTATATTCCATCGTTGAACGAACCAGATGAGCTTCTAGACGAGCCCTTCGAGTTCCTCCAGGAACCCAAGCTGCAAGGCGAACCACAGTCCAACTTGGAGCTGGGGAATCCGGTCCAGTTGGAGGAGAAAAGTCAGCCCACTAGAGGGAGACGGGAACCAGATAACGAGGCTAGCTTGCGAATGGATCAACAGGCTAATCTGGACAACTTTAAGATGGGAAATCAGGCCAACCTAGAGCCGGAGCTGAGTAATGCCAGCTTGGACCAACAAGTCCAACCAATGGGGGGCTCAGAATCGGATGGGCAATCTCTTCTAGAATCCTTGGATTCTCCCAGCGATTCGCAGCGCAAAAAGAAGGCAGCGGAGTCCGAGAAGCCAGTGGAGGAGCAACTACCTCGAGTGGAGGAGCAACTACCTCGATTGGAAGAGAAGAAGCCATTGGTGGCCAAGGAGCCTCTGCCATTGCAGGCGGATCTGGGAAAGCAGGCACCCGCATTCGATGCGGAAAGGTAGGTGTTTGGGGGAATCAAATCCTAGCCCAGCTCACCCACCTCCATCCCCTTCAGCTTCATAGCCAACAATGCTCGGGATCCACCTCGTTACCTCATCCAAATGCAGGATGGTTTCATCCAGAGCGACAATGATCCTGGGGAGCGCCGATTGCAGGCGGATCGCAGTCAAAGCGAAGCCCTTGACCTGGACAAACTGGCCGTAAAGGAGCCCAGTCCTTTCCACGAGGACGAGTCCAACTTTGAGGCTGAGTACAAGAGGAACAAGCGGGAGAACAAGGAGGCAGACGATGCTCCGGAGGTGAGTGGATGAGCATGGAGGTACTCCCCTAAGAATACATCTTTCCACCCAACAAGACCAACAAAGAAACCTATCTGAAGGACCTCATGGACTCGTTTCCAAGGGATCAGGGCGGTCACATCAATGCCAACGTGGCTCTCAGGGCCTCCAACCTGGCGCACTTGCGCACCAAGCGAAGTTGAGTTCTATAGTTCGATGGATTCCATTTTCTGTATATTTTCTACGAATGTACCTCCAGAATGCGTTTAGATCGTGAATATATCAAATGTTAGTGTTTACCTTTGTAGTCCTTCTAGCAGGAGCGGGGTGAGGAAGACGTTCACCTGGCCCTTTAGCCTGGCCACCACGGAGGTGCAGGCTGCGCCGCCCTCCGCCTGCAGGCTCATGAACTCGCCGTCATCGAAGCCGTTGGTGGTCTTGTCCGATTCCTCCTCCTTGAGCAGGACACTGGGGTCCCACGGATGCGACTTGGGTCCGCCCATGAACGTGGCCGAACTGTTGCTCCCAGTGGCATTCTCGTAGCGCGGCACCACCTTGATCTCCCGCCAACAGGAGTAGAGATCGAAGTGGGGAAGCATCTTGCTGCCGATGTAGGTCAGGCCGCCGTCCTCGTTCTCGTGGAAGAGCGGCGTGGAGAAGACGTCCGGTCCCAGGGGGAAGGAGCAGCCGTTCCAGTTGAAGCACTTTACCTGCGAGAGGTGGTTCAGGTAGCTGGCCATCAGCAGGGGGGAATCGATGATCGGCCGGTTGACCTGCTGGTGGAGATTGACGAGCGCCACGTCCTCCTGCGAGGACATGGCCGAGATAAAGGAGTTGGAAGACAGCGATGGGGTGCCGGACGAAGATCCTCGGGAGTCCGCCTGTGAAAAAGAGATCAAATCGTGGGATCAGTACTCTGAGAGGAAGAGAACTACTAGGATGTTTGCTGCTACTTCTAGGAATAGCCACAGGCCAAAGGGCGCAAGCACGAAAATTGTGAGAAACTTTGAATGGAAAGATGTGCAGGAACAACTAAGGATATAGTTAGGAACTATTATAATTAAATAATGGATTATCCTGTGGACTTAAAACTAACATCCGATGGGAATAGAACCATGCACTTAACTTTCCACCAACCATGCATAGTGGTTTCCAGGGAGGAACTTCGTCATAAGATCAAGATCAAGGCAAGAAAACACTACTTGGAACATTGAGAGTGTCCAGAGTGGACTAGCATTTAAGTATCGGGTTTAGTTGCGCTACGTTTTAGCTAGTTAGTTAGTTAGTTAGAAGAGGTTTGGTTGGCTGTTGATTGGAACTAAGGACTACTCACATCATGAACAAAATGTCGATACTCGGGTCGTGATGAGATATTTGTTATTTTTCTTATTGGTGTGGCGAGACCGTGAATGCGTCTCGCGTCTTCGTTCTGGATGAGTTTTGGTTTTGGTTTTGGATCGATTTTGTTTGATTTTAGTTAGTTTTCATTAAGGATGAGTCGAGTTTTGAGGAAAGGAATAGAATTTAGGTGTGGTTTTAAAGTTTAAGAGTTTGGGCAGCGGTCTCCCATTCAGTCGGGGGGGAAACCGTTGCCCAAGGATTATAGTTATAAATATTTAGAGAATGGATAGACTTAGATACAAAGAAGCATGCACTTAATGATAGGTTCGAGGATTCTTCCCTCTATCGGACTATAGAGTGTCACCTCTGGGGCAACCTTAGTTTAGTAAGATAGTGTGGATTAAACTTGGCTTCAAAAGCAGCAAAGCTAAACGCGCTGGTGTCCTTAACTTAATGAGTAATTGGACCTATCAGGTGAGTACAGGTGTACAGGTGGTGGATACACAAAAAAGAGAACTCCTCTTGGTAGTTCTTTCAGCTTTACCAGTTCTGTGGTGCTCTGAGGCCGTTTCGGAAGCGTTTTGTTGCCATCCGGAGCGTGGATCTCCAGGTCGCTGCGATATGTGGGTAGGGTGTGGCTTCCATTGTCGTTCTGGGCACCAATGCTGAAATATAAGAGGATTGAGTATCACATATACCAGGTGTATATCATCTTTATACTCACCTCAAGTCGGAGGAGAAGCGTTTCTTGCCAGACAGCACAACGGAGCCGCTGTTGGCACTGTTCCGCTGCTTCATCGAGCCCCGCTGGGACATCACATTCGATATGTCCTCTTCGGCGGAGAAGAACATCTCTGAGGGATTCTCCGACGTCAGCGAAATGGTGCGCTGCACCTCTCTGGGCAGGTGGTCGCACAATCCCTGGGAGTGGAGGGCAATGTCTGCGATCTCGAACTCCAGGGGATGCGAGTGCGGAGCAGAGTGCGACATCTCGTCGGGAATCTGTTTCAAATTCAAAGAGTTATTAGAAATGGTGATCTTCAGGGCTGAGGTCCTTAGACCTACCTCCTGCTCATCGTCCAGGACATCTCCAGTGAGCCGCGAGTCCGAGATGCTGGTCTTTGGCGGCGAAACGCGCAGTCTGTTCGAGTCGGATCCGCGCCGGTTTCCTGTTCCGGTGTCCCCAGCTGCAGCCTCGTGCTGCATCTGCAGCTTCTTCGAGGGACTGTCCAGCAGGCGGGCGTACGGCACTTCCACGGAGGTCTGTCGTGAACAGGGATACCGCTTGCTCCTCCTCTCCAGAGTGTTGGGCGATCCAATGCTCTCCCGGGACTTGTTGCGGCTGCTTACCTCCGGCTTTTCCACTCCACCTGTGCCGCTGGCTCCAATCTTGAACCGGGTGCCATCTGGCAGAGAGCAGAGCTCCGATTTCTTGAGACTACCGTTCCGTAGATCGCCAGCCGGTCTGTAGAGGCGACCCTTTCCGTTAAAGTCCGCCGAGTCGTAGAGCGAAACGCAGTGGAGGCTGTAGGGCGGGGTGTGGAAGACCAGCTGTCCCTGGTGCAGGATGCTCTCGCCGAAGCCAAAGTCCTTGTTGTTGTTGATGATGCTATGGGAAGGAATGGATTAACGTCAAGCCTCTATATGGAGAATCCTGGATACTCACAAATATCGGGCTATGTTGTAGTTGTCGTGGACATCCTGGGCCGTGGGCTTGAAGAACTTCTGGCCGTTCCGATTGCTGCCAAAGAAGACACAGCCACCAATGCAGCCGCATCGGGATATCTCGCTGCCGGAGGACAGGGCACTGCCGTTGTGGGACCACAGGAACCACAAGCGTTTGAACTTGGCATCGTGCTCCCGCAGGAAGCTAAAGAGTCACGAAAGATCAGCTTAAAATATTAAAAAATATATCCCTTCCTCCACTTACTTGTGCTGGACCAGGTGTAGTTCGTGATCGGGAATGGGCAGGGCGGAGGCTCCCTCCAGGAGAATCGGTCCTAGGGACGTACAGCCCACTTCCACCCAGTTCTCGCAGAGCTCGGCAGTGTCCGGAGTGCGTTTGGCCTGCGCCTCCGAGAAACTATCCCTCAACTTCCGAGTGCCATCCTCCCGGGAGTCCCTTCGCGAGAAGGAGTTGGAGCTGCGCTTGCCCGGCTTGCCGTGCGTGGCATGATGAGATCCTCCGGCGTCTTGCGACTTTAGGGAGTCCTGGTCCTGGGCTCGCCTCACTTTTCCCGAGCGATTGCTGCCCGTGGTGTTGGTGTTGAAGGAAGAATTGGTGGTGTGCAACATGAACAACCGCAGGAGGATCGACGGCAGCAGGCCAGAGATGCCCGACTTCACCCTCTGGCCGTGCAGGTTGCAGTTGGCCAGTCGGATGGGCGAGATCCAGGCATGCAGGGCGGTGCCGCTCTCGATGAGGTACACGTCCACGGCGTCCACAGAGACGCGGGTCATCTTGTACTTGATGTCCTCCGAGGAGGGGCACTTGTACTTCTTCTCCTCCTTGGTCTGGGGGCACAGGTTGCTCGGCACTCCGTGGTGGCAGTTTCTGACCGTTTTCGGGGACTTCAGGCAGTTCTCCGGATCGATGGCCAGGAGTATGAGGGTCTCCAGCCCGGTGACCACGTTCACCAGCTGTGGCAGCGTCAGCTTTCCCGTCAGCTTGCCCAGCTGCACCTCCACCAGCCAGGAGTACTCGAGGGTGTCCTCGTCCAGGGCACAGCCCTCGTTGCTGAACATGGCATGGCCGCGCACCTGAACGGCCGAGAGGAGCAGATGGCCCTGGTTGATGTGCTGCTCCCGCTGCGAGCGCTGCAGGCAATCGGAGGCCAGCAGATACGACGGACTGACCAGCACCTGGAGGGTGGTCTCGTGGTACCGCTTGTTCATCTCGAACCCGAATCTCTCGATCAGCACCACCGGGCAGGGCGGGTCGTCGTCGTTGCAGTTCTTCATCACATGGGCCTGGATGTCGTGGACAATCACGGAGACCATCACCTCCAGCGGGCGATACAGGCGCGGGTCGAAGGGCTTGCGCTTCTCCTCCGGAGCCTGCGTCTCCGAAATGGACTTGTTGGCCAGCTCCTTCTCCTTGGCCAGCAGCTGGTCCTTGGGATTCAGCTGCGTGGCCCCCGGCTCCTTGGTATTCACATTCGACTGCTCCATGTCCGTGAAGTTCTGGTCCTCGCCGAAAATGTTCTCCTTCAGGTTGATGAAGTTGCGCAGGACGTTGCCGTAGGCCATGAGCACGGAGCTACCGATCTCCAGTTCCACGGTCACGTGATCCGCCGGCAGGGTGCCCGGATCGAAGTTGCTGTACTGCTCGGGAGGCTGCTGCCAGCTGCTCACCGGGGACTTCCTCACCTTCGGTATTCGCATGGGACTGAGGAGTATCTCCTCCTTCTCCGGCGTGGTGATATCCGCCTGGGGATCAGGGCCCAGCGGCGGAACTGGATGGTAAACGTACTGAATGGACAGCGCCAGGATGGGCACGGCCCAGCAGTCGATCCAGCCGGCGGAGCGCTGGCAGATCTTGCGCCACTTCTTTTCGTAGAGCTCCGGGCGCCGGATGAGCTTGCCCTCGCGGGTCAGCAGTCTTGCGTTCTCGTCAATGGCCAGGACAATGGGCCGCACCGTCGACACCTCCGGCACGTACAGGCTTAGGTCCAAGCCCTCGCCGTGGATCCAGAACTTCAGCGTCACGGTCTTGGGCAGGAAGTCGTCGAAGGGCAGGGCGAAGCTCATCTCGAAGACGTCGCCGCAGAAGGCCAGGTGGTTGTTCTCCTGGTTGGCGCTGCTGCAGTCGATCCAGTTGTACTCGTTGCAGAGCATCAGGATCTCGAACTCGTTCAGCCGGATGCTGAAGTTGCAGGTGTAGGGCACGAAGCTCAGGATGTCCGGGCGCGCCTTGTTCGCCCAGTCCTCGATGAGGTCCTGGAAGAAGCACTTGTGCTTGTAGACGATGAACGCACTCGTCTTGCAGCCGGACAGCGAGATGTTCCAGTCCTGGGGCGCATTCCACTTGGTCGGGTAGTGGATGCGCACCTTGTACTCCAGGGACTCGAACTCGGCCAGGCTGCGGTACTGCAGGGACGTGGTGGCCTCCACGTGGAAGAGCTGGCCCTGGATTTTGGAGGTGTAGCCATCCGGCTGGGTGACCCAGGGTATCGTCACCTCCACGTACGAAGCGGGCCCCACGGTTATGTGCATGGCATTGGTCTCCTTCTCCTTGGAGAACAGTATGTCGATGGTGGCCTCGTTCAGGACGCAGAGCGTCACATCGAAGGACTGATAGCTGCGCAATTCTCCGGGCTGGGGTGTGGGTGTCACCTCCGCCTCCTTCCAGTCCGATGGGTAGAAGTACTTGTACAGGTGGTCCCGCTGCCGATCCGCCCACGGTCCATAGCTGAAGTCCGTGCCCTTTAGGCACCTAGCATTGATGCCCCAAACCGGTGGCGATGGCTCCACCACGTCCCCGTTGGGCAGGACAATCTGAACGGGCTGTTCGGGCACCACTCCCGGCTCGTCCATGTAGAAGTAGAGGTCCATCTGGTTGGACATCATCACCACGAATCCCTCGCCCATGTAGCGGGGCGGCTCGTCGATCAGTCCCGTGTACTTGGGACTCGGGCAGAAGAGCACCTTGGCGTTCTCCACCTTGGCCTTGACGAAGTGCATGAAGTGGTCCAGCCGGCAGACCGCCGGCTTGGTGCTGTACGTGCAGCGGGCCTCCTCCACGGAAATGGACAGAGTGGTCGGCGTCAGCCGGTTGCCGAAGACGAAGCGTCCCGAGCAGATGTCGATCTTGATGACGGGGATCAGGTCCCGCCATGTGGTGGCCTGCATGGCCTCCGAGTTCTTGACGTTCTGGATGCGCTGGCTTTGGCGTGCGTTCTCCAGGTTCATGTGGTGCTCCTTGAGCTTGTTGCGCTCCTCGGTGCTGGCCACGTCCGTGGGTATCAGCAGCGAGGGCTCCAGGCCGAACGTCTTCTCCAGCGTGTCGTACAGATCGGATCTGTTGTAGATGTGCAGTTCGTAGCCATTCAGCTGAACCGACAGCCGAGTGTCCGAGTGCGAGAGATCTGCGGGATGGGAAGAGTATTAATTATAGACTCCCACTAGTGCCTGGGTAGCTCCTCACCTTCGGAGACATCCTTGGGGACGTAGGAGCGCCACCAACGAAATATAAAGTATCCGTCCTGCGCCCGCACAGTGTAGTCGTAGGTGATGTACACAAAGTCCCGGAACATGATCTTGCCAGCCAGGGGGTTGAGGGCCACCGAGCCGATCTTGAAGTAGGCCCCCTTGATGAACCACCGGTTGGCGATCTTGGTGATCAGCATGCCGATCACCCGCGAGTTGTAGAAGGTGATGTACGTCACCCAGGTGATGGTGGTGAGCAGGGATGCGAGCAGCCATATCTGGAATCAGGATGGATGGTCAGATAGGTTCTCTAAAGGATAAACCCCCACCCCCTAGTTGGAAGTCAATAAAGTCCTGCCCTTTGGGATTTAAAATACTGCCATATATTATCCAAAAATTACAAAAACAACAATTATACGAAGATCCTTTATGTCCTTAACTCCTCCTCCTCCGCCTGAGATTTAACTTGAGATTTACTTGGCAGGATCGAAAGGATTTAAAACATTACTACGAGAATTTTTCCAGACACACAACAGGGACAAGAAAAGGAGCAACTGCAGCAGCGTGGGGGTGGATGAGGTCCACGACTCTACGAGCACCACAACTCCAACACCTTCACTGGCATGTCCGTAAAGATGGTGCCGATGAAATGGTCGCCCTTCGCCTCCTCGATCACCGTGCACCCGTTGGCATTGAACAGGTCCAAGCCCTTGCTGAGGGCCTCCGCCTCGGGGCAGCTGGTCCGGGGGGCAGAGAGTGAGCCCCGAAATTCGGCGCGCCCAGTCTGCGGGTTGACGAAGTCGGCCCAGAAGCCGTAGCGCAACATTTCCCGGACATTGTAGCCGGCCAGGAACATGAAGGCGCGCAGGGCGAGAGCCCGGTCGAAGCCTCGGTACCGCAGTCCGAGCATGCTGAAGTTCATCGAGCTGCAGAAATGGGAGCTGGGGTGCCGGAACAGACGCCGCAGGTTGGGCGTCAGCAGCTTGGGGCAGGGCCCCACGCAGATGTCGGTGGGCCAAAGATTGCCACCGAATCCGGCCAACCTCTTCTCCAGGCGCTTCCCCTCCGGATAGAAGAGGTTGGCCATCGTCTGGTCCTCTGGCTGGACAAGTCCCTGATAGTCCGGACCGACGCAGTCCGGCAGGTAGAAGAGATCGGTCTGGCGGCTGCGCAGGATCGGTAGTGGCTTCATCGCGTTCTCGTCCTCCTCCGGCCCGATCTCCTCCTGGTCCCCGGGAAAGGCGGCCTCAGGGAGGCTGCTGCTGCCGCTGGAGCGGCGCAGATGGCGCCGCAGGAAGCTCTGGCCCATCACCAGGCTGTGGATCTGCATCCGCAGAGTATGCATGTCTATGTCCTTCTAATCTTCAGACTCTCCTATCGCGAATGGGTCCTAGAATCCTAGGAAAAGGCTTCTCTCCCCGCTTTCTTTTCTCGAAAAAAAAAACAAACTAAATTTTTAACTTAAAATATTAAATTTAAATATTAAATTGTGTGAATTTTGATCATTGGCTTTGCGACTAGACTGTTTTCGATAAAATCTAGGCAAGGAATGTGACTGACTGGCCGATTTGGAGCTCTGCCTGGGTGACACTAATCCTCTCACAGATTCTGCTTTCAAACTGCTGGACTGCTTTCGGATGGCTTTTCATAAGGCTACTATGTGTGATACTGACTGCCCCTCTTCCAGTAATACTTTGATTCTGTGACGATTTATTTTAGAAAATAAAAACATTGTGAAAAAATCACAAATGTTATAAACTATTTTTTTTAATGATACATATTTTGAATTTGAATTTTGATGACCTGAATGCTTGGAGAACAAGAAATGTTATAGAACTATACCTTATCTGAAATTGGAAAATCCAAATATAATAAGGGGGCAGCGAACTGAAGGCATTAAAGGGGTTATACGCAGTTAGGATTCTCAAAAAATCAAAAAAAAAATCATTATTTAAAAATTCTTTTCTATTTAATTTTATTAATATTTTCGATACATTAAGGGGGGTTTTTGAAAATAAATTCCTTCAATCATTACCTGTGGAATATATTCAAGAAGATTGTGAACATATTTCAGACCGATAAAGTTATCCCTTTTTTTCGAGAAATCGATATTTTTGTTAGGTTTTGGGAGGGGTTTCTACCTTGTTGGGCCTGCCTTCTATTTCTGAATTTTTCTCATGGAAAGTATGATAGGTATGAGAATGAAATTTAATCCAGTTGTAGAGCACATTTTATTGAAGCTACACAATTTTGTTTGGGGTGATTAAAACAAAGGGGGAGTTCCCAATAATGAAGTCATTTCGGTGGCAACTCATCATGGTGGACGTCGTAGAGTCCGAATATGACGAATATGTCCCTAATCTGTACACTTTTCAGCATCCGTGGTAGCAAAATAAAGAAAAAAACTCTTAAATTATGAGCTTTTGAAGACAAAACCATTTTTCTCTATTTTTCGATATTTATATTTTTTTTAAATACAAAATTTTCAAAATTTTAGCCAATTCTGTTACGACGGATGAACATTTTCACGCGTTTTTCTTAAAACAGTGTTTGTAAAGTCGGTGATCACGATTTAAAAAAAAGGGGATAACCTGATCAGTTTAAAATTTGTAGCCAATCTTCTTGGATATATTACCGAGGTAATGATTAACGGAATTTATACAAAAAAAATTTTTTTAATTATTATTTTTGACAATTTATTGAAAAATTTCAGCCAAAAATGAAATTTTTTTTCAAAGTTCCATTTTGTTTAAAATTAGAATTTGTTTAAATGTTTCGTTTATTGCCTGCATTTATTTATTCTTAAGAACAATCTTATTTTTAAGAACAAATCGAATTATTGAGATTGGATATTCCAAACCGCCAAAAAAGAGATCTTTTCTAAGACGTTTCTTATAACAGATACAGAATTAGAATAAGAATATATTTTTACAGTACCGACATGCTACTATCTTTCTAAAATTGGCTACTACTTAAATAAATAATAATTGTCTTGAACCATCTTAAGTTCCCTTCACAAGAAAGCTTAAAAATTTTTCATTTTTTGGGTCTTGCAACTGGCTATAACCCCTTAAATGCTCTGCATACTTCGAAGCCCAGATCTCGATGGAATTTTATCTGAACTTAAAAAAAATCCCAACCAAATAAGGGGTCAGCGAACTGCCGGCACCAAGATGCTTTTTTTATGGCAGGTCATGGTTGTTTTTAAGAAAACAAAGTCCGATAAACAAACACAATTTTGTGCGAAAATCTTGAGCCAAAAAAGAGACTACAATTTCCAGACTTATCAGCGAAATACAGATTGGGGAGAAAATGTTTCATTTTTAGTATCGCAACCCGATAGGGGGCCGGCAGTTGTTGGAAGGAAACCACTCCACCGATCCGCAGGTGTGCCTCCAAGTGAGTAATCAACACCCCAATGAACGACTTTTGTTTACAAACTTTGCAAAAATATTAAATGGAGCGAGGCAGCCTTGAAAAGTATCTCGGAATGTAAATATCTGGAAGTACGTTTATCTGTGAGTTCGCTCCCATAACTTCCCTTTCCTTTTTCAGATAAATAGAGCAGGAAATAGCCTTGAAACACTTATCAGATAGAGGAGGATTCTGGAGAGGAGGGAGATGGGTCTGTTTATTATTTTAAAGTTTATTACACAATTTTAAACTTAAAAAATACATTACTGCTAGCTCATCAACTTTATATCTTTGATCCCAAAAGGGCTTCGATTATAACGCAATCAGCATTAAAAGCTAGAAGTAGTAGTAGTAGCTTTGTGTTATCAATAAAAAGTGGGGCGGACTGGGCTGGGGGGAAGGCAGCGTGTGTCAATGACCAAATCCCGCTGATTGGAAGTCGCCACTTGCCTGCGCCCGCCACCTCTCCCTCTCTCTCTTTGTGGAGATAAGTGACTAAGCCGGTCGGTTGATTCACTGGCAACGGCATTCCACAACGTATTAATCAAATTATGTGCCCTCCCAGTCGCAGTGCCATAGCCAGTTCCTTACCATGCGCGCATCCAGATTCATGTCATTGAAGGCGACATTATGGGTGCTGTTCCAGGTGCCCACTTCTGGAAAGCCCAGCGGGAAGCTGTCGTCGCTGGTCTCCTCCACCACCTCCAGGGCCTCCATGATTTCGGGGCTGTGTATGTGTGTGTGTTAGGGGGTGGGGGGCAGGCGGATTAGGTGTGCCTGCCTTTGTTGTTTGAGGCTCCTGGCCTGGCCGCTTAAGCTGCGCACTTTCTTTTATCGATCGCACCCAATCTCATTGATCCGACACTGGCACATATACAGATTGGCATTTTCGGCTATATTATAATGGCAGCGCAGCACATTAGACTCTTAAATTAAATTTATTATTCCACACACACCACCGCAAGGTTCGATTTTTCCCACTTTGTTTCGGAGGTCGTCGCGGGTGTCTCAGGTTCGAGGTCCTTTTTTCGCACGCTTTCATCGAGGCAGCGCGCTCGCCCTTATCACAGCGAGAGTTTCAATCGGTTTAGGTCGCGTTTTAATCTACAATTAGTCACTAACTTTTGCTAATTAGCGCGAAAATAACGAAAATAATTTCGCCTCGGACGAAAACACCCATCGCTCTTCTTCTTTTCGTAACAGCTGATTGCTGTTTATCGATAGGGGGCGCATTTCTCGCATGCGAGAATCCTTTCGATAGCAATCCGGCTTCCATCTCTAATCAGCTGTTTTACTAAATCATGCTGGTATATACTGAAAGTATTTTTTATTATCGTTATCGATATACCAAGATAGCCAGAGCGACATCACTGGTTTTGATTCACCTTAAAAGCTGCGGGTAGCTCCCTGAAAATTATTTCTTACCTTGCATTTAACAAACAAACAAATCCGCTGACCACTGGTGATGTCACAGCTGCGCTCGAAAGTCATTAGCCTCTACAAGCACGTAAGTTTCCTCCACACCCCAACCGGTTGGTTGCACCGGCGGAGTTGCATCCTCCCCCACGTGCACCCCCCACCCCAAATACCCGAAAAATGTAACCGCCACCCCCACCTGCAGTTGCGTAAACATTTTGTCGGCGGCGGAAAACTGCAATTTCCTGCCCCTTGAATGACGTACGTGGGCTGGGTGTCCAGTTTCCTCGATCTGAGTAGAGCTTTCAAGGTCGACTCTTCTAGAAACTACATACATGTATGATTAACACTTCCCCCCTTCTCACCCACACAGTTGCAGTATTTGGGCCGCGAATATCCCGGCCTGAACGGGCCCCAGAAGTTCCGCAAGCAGATCCACGATGCCTTCATGAACCACAAGGACGAGCAGGACCCGAAGAAGATCGTGGCCCTGCTGGCCCAGGGACGCTACCTGGCCAAGGAGGTGGAGGCCCTCTACTCGCTCAAGAAGTATCGCACTGTGAAGCAGCGCTACAGCTACAATGACTAAGGCCGGGAGGAGTGGCGGCGATGCGGAAATCGCTTGCTAGCTAATTCAAGGACTGATGATGATGGCTGGGTGGGGAGCAGTGACCAGGCAGGTGGAGAACATGATATGAGTATGAGGTCGCCCTGCTTGTCGCGTATATGCATATTCTATTGCCAAAGCAGACTCGATCCAAACACACACGCAAAAAATACATAAGCAGTAATATTTTCGAATGTCTTGTCAATGTCTAACTTAAAGTTGTTATTGATGCAAAACAAAAAATTAACAAAAAAAAAGCGAAAAACCGAAAAACGGACGTAGCAAATAAACGAAGCAGTCATTGAATAACCAAATATAGCCATCGAAATTAATTGAATGCACTGGAAAAAAATGGCAGTACATGTTGGCTTTTAACTTGAATCGAATCGTGGCGACCTTCAACCGATATGACCGGGAAGGGGCCCGTCGAGCACATATTTCTGCCCGCTATCTATCTATATCCGTATTAAATTTGGCGATAAAAGTATCTATCAGATATTCGCCACGTCTGCCAATGCGTTGGACGCCTTCTACTAAGTCGTCGGGTATTGACAATATTGCGTATTTAAATTCATCTGACCGATGATCGTGGGTCGCCCCCATCTACTATATAATATATATGTTTTGGTGATAAACAACCGCGGACGCCGTCCAAGTGAGCTTTTTCTACTCTGACGAAAAACATGAAAGCTCGCCGTAATTAAAGGGCATTTAGCAAAGTCTATAAATACAGCTCGGTCTTATCGGACTGATAACAGGGTGCAGTGGTGTCACTGCGAATAAAGAGCAAGCTCATCGTAAATAGTTTTCTGAAATCTAGCTTGACGTAGGCTTCTTCTGAATGGCGGGGAGATGTTCTACAGATTCTAGAAGAATTATCAAGCACAGAATTACTTCAAGGCTGATCAATAAAGACACTCTTTATTGATTCATTGATGGGAATTGGTTCCGATTTAATTTACAGATTCGGGGAAGAGAGAGGAAACCAAACAGAATTTAAAATTTAAATTAAGGTAAAGTGTATTGCAAGTGGAAACTCTTTCTACAATAACTTAGCATAAGATTCTATTTAAAGCTTAAAATTATTTCATTTTGATTTCCTAAAACAAGTCCTATTTAAATGACATCTTCTGGTCTGTCATGGCATTTTCATAGTGTCATGGTGAGCAGAGCTCATTGAGTTTCTCTAGAAACTAACTAATCCCTTGCTTTAACTAGCTTGAAGCGGTTAACATAAGTACTTCAATATTCGCATTAAGGTTAACTAAATTTAACAAATCACAATTATTTCAATTGGAAAGCGTTATGGTGTTGACTTGGAAATAGAGAGATAGATGCATCCAGATAGATCTGGGGTGGCTCAACCGAACTCGAAGCCAAGCACGTCGTCCAACCCGTAGCCGAAGAGGCGGAAGTCCTCCTCGTAGATCTCGTACAGCCGCCGGATGGATCCGATGGGCAGAGGATCAAAGTAGGTCCGGAGATTGGCTTTCGTGCTCGAAGGTTTGTGGCCAGTGGGGAATATCAGGTTGCGGGCTCTGGCCAGATATAGTGCCAACGCGGAATCGTCCAGTAGGGTATCGTATTTTCCTGTTTAATTTAAAGATATATTAGTTAGGATCCAAGAACCATGCTTCCATGTTTCTGACTCACCCACGACGTTGTAGTTTACCACGCAGGGATTGCAGAGCCTGGTTATCACCTCCCAGTGCTCGTTGTAGTCCGTCTGATTGGCCCGGCTCAGCTCCGGCGTCAGCAGGTACTGGATGAACTCTCCGAAGGTCACATCGTCGCCGTTTTCCAGCGAGGAATTGCTCGCTCCGGGTCGCAGCTCCTTCACAATCTGGCGACCCACACGGGACTGGAAGTATTTGGCACTGGGGGAATCGCCTTCCAGCTTGTTCCTATAGGCGGAGAGCAACCGTTCGAAGGGGTGTCGCACCAGGATAAAGCGAGTGTAGTCCTCGCTCAGGACCTGTTGCTGCTCCGCTTCGGTTAGATCGTAGAACTTGGTGAACATGCCCTCGGAGTGGGCCAGCGATCCCGGAATTTGCAGCGGATCCGTGCCATTGTTCCACTTGCCCATGAGCATCATCAGAACCCGCTTCCAGTTCGTGCAAGCGACCTGGAAAACGCAGATTTGTAAACAAAATTAATTAAATAAACAAAATTTAAAATTATTTTTAATGGTAACCTTATAAACTCTTAAAATTCTTACAAAATTCTTTAACATGCGTGGGACCCACTCTGAAGTCTATATCTCTGGCGATTTTCATCCGATCCTTATAAGGAATACCTCAAATGATTTGTAGATCGATTCTCCATCAATCTGCATCAAAATCTAGCATCAAAATATTTTTTCATATTTTTGTCAAATTTTATGGAGGGTCCCCTTCAAAATTGGGGAAAAATGCATCGACTGCCATTATGATCCACTGTGAAGTCTATATCTCTGCCGATTTGCATCCGATCTTTGAGCGGAATACCTTAAATGATTTGTAGATCGATTCTCAATCTGCATCAAAATCTAGCAACAAAATATTTTTTCATATTTTTGTCTAATTTTATGGAGGGTCCCCTTCAAAATTGGGGAAAAATGCATCGACTGCCAATATGACCCACTGTGAAGTCCATATCTCTGCCGATTTGCATCCGATCCTTGAGCGGAATACCTTAAATGATTTGTAGATCGATTCTCAATCTGCATCAAAATCTAGCATCAAAATATTTTTTCATATTTTTGTCAAATTTTATGGAGGGTCCCCTTCAAAATTGGGGAAAAATGCATCGACTGCCAATATGACCCACTGTGAAGTCTATATCTCTGCCGATTTTCATCCGATCTTTGAGCGGAATACCTTAAATGATTTGTAGATCGATTCTCAATCTGCATCAAAATCTAGCATCAAAATATTTTTTCATATTTTTGTCAAATTTTATGGAGGGTCCCCTTCAAAATTGGGGAAAAATGCATCGACTGCCATTATGATCCACTGTGAAGTCTATATCTCTGCCGATTTGCATCCGATCTTTGAGCGGAATACCTTAAATGATTTGTAGATCGATTCTCCACCAATCTGCATCAAAATCTAGCAACAAAATATTTTTTCATATTTTTGTCAAATTTTATGGAGGGTCCCCTTCAAAATTGGGTAAAAACGCATCGGCTGCCAATATGACCCACTGTGAAGTCTATATCTCTGGGGATTTTCATCCGATCCTTGAGCGGAATACCTTAAATGATTTGTAGATTAATTCTCCATCAATCTGCATCAAAATCTAGCAACAAAATATTTTTTTATATTTTTGTCAAATTTTATGGAGGGTCCCCTTCAAAATTGGGGAAAAATGCATCGACTGCCAATATGACCCACTGTGAAGTCCATATCTCTTCCGATTTGCATCCGATCCTTGAGCGGAATACCTTAAATGATTTGTAGATTTATTCTCTATCAATCTATCAATACACACCATTTTTCTAAGTATATATTGAGAAATGTGTAAATTTCTTAGAGATATGGATTTCGAGGCTTCTAAGTGATTCATAATTTTTTTTAGAAATAATCATGATTACATTTAAGAAGGAACCACCTGAGATATGTATACCTCAGCCCTTTTTTTGGGTAGATAATGTTCTTTCGAAATTCTACGCAGGTGTCATCCTGAACAGTCATATGAAAACTATTTCATTCTTATCATTGACGCCTTCCTTGTTTTATTCATTATCATATAGAAGGTGGGGGTTTTAAATTCTTAAACTTAAAAATGTAATAATAATTATTTTGATGTGAAATTTCTTTTTAAATTTAGTTCAGTATCAGGTTAAGCTCAAATGAAAGACAAAAATGAAAAAAAAGACCGGTTGCTGAAGAAACCCGAGTCGGGTCTGAAACTTAAGCTCTCTGATATCTTGGTCAAGTACCACATGAGACAAGTGACCCCCCATTAAAATGTGGTTTTCATTACACTTTTTGCGACTCGGGCAGTTTAATCGTGAAATGAAATCTCTTTCGAGACTGCGATGGGTTGAATCACTTTACTCTTAATTGCCGAGTGCAATAATTTATAAATTTCGCCTTAAAATCGCCCCCTGATTTTCCTCCTCGGCGGCATTGGGCAATAAGTCAAGTCGTTGAAGTTAACTAGGAAAAGCTAGATATATATCTGTATATATCTGAAGGCATATATATAGGTAGAGCTGGTCGGGCAATGTGCCGAGCGTAATTAAACAATGCTTTTGCATTTCACATTACAAAAACAAACATTTTGGAATGAATTAGGTAGGAAAGTGACGAAAAAAACATTGAAATACTAGGTATATACAGAGCCACATAACCACAAGGTTGGCAGATGTCGAATTTTTGGGTTAAAGTGAAATGACTGAATGTTGTTTTAAAACAAAACACTAGTCTATAATTTCTGATCGACTGACACGGAATGTTTATACATCTTTCAATGGTTAAGGATGTGGGCGGGTCTACTTAGTCATTTTATTTATTTATTTTTTTAGCAAGACATGGATCAAAGGGATTCCCCCTTAGCACCTCTTTAGGTAAAGATTTCGAGGTCTTATTTCAAAATTATTCAAATGCGTAAGAAACATTAAAACCTAACAAAAACGTAACGCAGTTTCATGACGACCATTAAAGCTACACGCGATGGTGGCATAAAATTCCAAAAACCATAGTGGCGAGCCCCCCACTTAGGAGGCAGGCGAGCGGTGCTCCCGGGGGCTATTGGCCAAGGGTAAACATATACCATTTACGACTTCATGGAAGAACGAGTTGAGAAAATGCCGGACTAGCGTGATCGCGATGAGTGACGAGCGAGAATGCGAAATCCCGCAGTGGAACTGCTCCATCGCATCGACCCCTTCCGATGGGCGGTGAAATCGAAACCAGTTGCTTCCATGTCCGATAGTAGTCATTTGTAGAAATGGCTAGATAATGGGCGACGTGTGTCGAGCCACTCGGGTGGCATGATCACCTGCCACACCCCCCGCGTCCAAGGCCGTGGAGTGGCTCGCCATTCGAATTATGATAATGTGAGAGGGGGGCTTGAAAATGTTGTACAAGTGCATGGGGCCTACAACCAAAACTTATGATCCTGTAATAAATCAATACAAATTCCCCAAAAAAATATGAAACATCATTGTCATTAGATATCTTTTGAATTCAAAAATTGGATCAAAGGTCGCCGGCAACATGAAACACCAGGCTATTTTGGAAACCCACTTCACTTCACGAAACTCTGGCAAACACACAGGTAACCGGCACCTGGTAATCTAATCTTTCAGTTTTTTGGTTTGATGGTTTCCAATAGCTTATTGGTTGATAAGGAAAAGCCCTGTAAAGGCCGCTTCCTCTGCCTGATTTCCTCAAAAGTTTAATTTCCTAATCCAATTAGCCAAATCGAAATGTGATTTTTTGAAACGCTATCGCTTCTTCAGAGAGCTAGCCTCTCGGGGTCCCAAAATAATCTCCAAGCTATTAAAAATTATATTTATATTTAAAGCTTATCAAGTAGGGTTCAAGGGAAAAACACATTAGACCCCAAGAGTCATTAGAATCCAGATTCAAGAATTTAGAATTCTTGAACAAATTTGCGCATTAAATAAAGCACATTTTTGAAATTAAAAATTTATGATCTGCTGGGGGACTTTCCTTATAATGTGGAGTGTTTAAATCACATGAAATCAGCAATACGTATAAGGGCATATAACGCTGACATGTGCACAGAGTGTCTGGCTCGATAAGCCCAGAAGTGCGGGCTTAGCTATCAGATTCCCTCGCACTAGAAGCCACTCCATAAATCTAACCTCATAAGTCGCACTATTGGGAACTGCATTTCATTGAGCACCTATCTAATATGACCTGGAACTCATTTTGTTATTTTTTTTTAAGTGCTGGTTAAGTAAACATTTATGGCGGCACGATCCCCAGCATAAACTCAGCATGTGCTCCAAACAAAAGGCAGAAGAGCGCCCGAAACGAGTTTCTATAAACAAAGTATCTCAGAACCTTTGGATGACACAGATGCCGATTTTTGATGTATGTATGTTGGGACAGCACATGGTAACAAGCTTAGAAGACACTTCAAGATTTGAGATTTGATTTGAGAAGTTCTACAAGTTCGCTTTCCTTTATCATCAAAACAAAGTTAAACAGTACAAGTTTTAATTCCTCAATTAATATTAGCATATTAATAACACCGATTAACTACAATCTTAATCTCCGACTAGATAATTACACCTTAACGACTACCTAGAACCGTTTATTGGTGATCACCGATCAGCATTCGGTTGTAAAGTATAATTACCCGTCTCCAAAGGTCAACTTTAATCTAAACTTTGTGCTGAATATGTAAAAGTGGTCAGTCGCCTGTCTGGGTATTTCATTTTATGAAGCTAGTGTTTCCATGCGGGATTACTACCTTTGGGACGTAGCAGTAGAGCAGCTTGTGCTCCTTGTCCACGATCATGTGGTCCATTTGCAGGTCGGTGAGATCGTTCATCGTCTGATGATGCTGGCCGAGCAGTTCGCATTCCCGCTGCATGAACTCCTGCCGCTGGATGTTGATCGTCTGGGTCAGCTCCAGGCTTTGGCGGGTGATCTTGACGTTATTGTTGTTGCCATCCTCGAACGGCAAGCCGGCGGAGAGAGAGATCAGGAGCGAAATGCAAAGCGAAAGCCAAACCAGTTGATCCATAATGCACTGGCCCCGAATCCGTATCCGGCCCGAATTTCGGTCTTAACTCTGCCGCTGGCGCCCGAAATACTTGACGCGGTGGGCAAACTTGAGAGTAGTCGCGTTCTCAATGCCCAGCTCTCTAAGGGTGGTCCGGCCCTTGGATCCTCGGTCGTCAATCGGCTGAGACTTGTCCACGTTGAAGAGGCAGAAACAGCGCCATAGAAATCGCCACGATACGAACGCGCGGTGATCGTGCCCGTTGCGCCGAGCGGAGTGAACTAACTCGCCCGTGGAGCTGGTGGAAACATGTTCCTCTTGCTTGGCGTCTTCGGTAATTCCACGACGCCTAAGACGCTCTTCGTGCCGCTCCCGATGCTTGCGCCTGTGTTGGGCTAGAGAGATATTGGCAATAGCCCTCTTCAAATGAGCGATCGTCGGCTCTGGCTGGTGGAGCTGCAAATCCAAAATATGGAGAAATATTAGAGAGAAGAGTGCCTCAAACTCTTCATTAATATTTTAATTATCCTATCAACTTAAAATTCCTGAACCAGAACCGTGTTGACCTTGAAAAAATATTCAAAATAAAAGTATTCCTTAAATTCTTAGTCGAAATTCGAGTTATGAGACCTTTCTTTCGCATCTATGGGGACGTTATTCGGCATGCCGGCAGGCTAGTTCCGGGCATGATGCGACCGGCATGGCTATTACCATCTGGTAAGAATGGCTCAGCGGTATTCATTGATAATTTTTACTTTTCTTAGGACCGCGTACTGTGCTTCTAGAGGGACCTGTTATAAAATGGGTAGGTTTCTTATCGCAAATGGAAATAGTATTTATAGACTAATTATAAAATAGTGTGCCGGAATGGCGGGATTGAGCCGTGTCCTCGCAAGACCCCCACATTTTATAGCCCAGAAACAAAGTCATCTCCTGCGTTTACCGCCAAAATATTGCAGCTTTATGGCGTGCCATGCTCTACTATCGGTGTCTCAGTGCATGCTCCTTTTGCGAAGCCTTGATTCCGAGTGGAAAAAGTGGCAAGAAGAAAAAGCGCAAAGAGGTTCGGGGCCTGACCCACTTTCTCCTAACGCTCTATGTACACACTCAATGCCTATTGATTTCAGAGCACCCTGACTTTATGGAGAACAGAGCTGAATGGCCCTTTCAAATATTTGTGGATTGAGATTCCTGCCCTATCAATTGCTTAATTGCCGAGGTCATAATTGGCGATTGAAAACAGGTGCAGTTAGAGGGAGTGAAGTGCATACCACCACCGTAAGAGTGCTGAGTCCGTCCCGCTGTACGTGGATCGTGGTGGCCTGCCCCTCGGCGATGGCGATCTGAAATTATGAAATTGATAATTATAATAAATTTTGTGTGCAATGGGAGCGCTTAACGGTAGCGGAGATGCCCGTCAATTAGCACCTTTAGATGATCGGCAGTAGGTCAGTGGCCAGTGACGAAAGAATCGCCAGAACGAGCCATCAAAGGTGCTAATTGCAGCCGGTTGATCTGGTTGATTCCATGGGTCGATTCAATTGGATCGGATTGGCTTAGATTGGATTTCAGACAAACATATGACGTCAAGTGCAATAACCTATATTGGCATTACCGTGAAATTGATCTAGTTGTGTCAATCTAGATTAGCACCTCAATTCCAAATGCTTCATGTTACTTTTCCCCGACTTGGGTAAATGTTTACCTATGCATAATCAGCCAGGGAAGTTACTAATGGGCAGTCTTCTGAAACTCACCTCCCACAGAAGCTCCGCTGAAGTGATGTCACGTGGAATGTCCGAGAGTGTGCTGAAGTTCTCGAGGATGTGCCTGAGTTCCTGCGAAGTGCTGGCTAGCATGGCATTGTGTTCGGAGCGGTCAAAGTCATTGCGAACTCGGCGGTCAGAGGGTACTTTTCGACGCCTCATAGAACTCCTTCGCCTGCCCAGGATCTTTTCGTTGTTATTCCTGGCTTCTCTTACGACTTTCTTTCGGAGATTTGTCGGCATTGCCTGGAGCTTCTTATAGGTCACAGCGCTGCTCCTTGATGTCCTGCGCTTCTCTCTGTAGGGAGAGCTATCTCTGCGACGCCGATCCATTGTTTATTTGTTTTTTAATCTAAAACCGGGTAAATGATTTGTTTATCAATTGTTGTTATTGCATCTTTCGATAACAAACAAAACCGATAGGCACAACAGCTGACGCACTTGCTCATAGTTGCGTCTGCGTGGGACTTTACAACACTGGGAAGCGCCTCCAGAGTTGCCTCTGCCGCATTCTATCGATGTCGATATCCAGCCTCATTTTTCCACCCACGTTTTTGTTATAATTTAATAAGTTTTGCGGCCCGAGACCTAGTTTATGTGGCGTCCCCGGCAAACTAGTGATACGAGGCACTGCTAGAACATCGGGGGAGAAGCGGAAACCTGAGTTTTTACCTAGTCGGTAAAAGCTGCGGTGCTCGAGTGCATGCGAGTGTTGGAATTCGCTAGTGTGAGGAGAAGAATGTGTGTGTGCGTGTGACGGACGACCAAAAAAGCCGACATCACCGCCCATATTTGTTGTTGATTCATTAAAACGCTGCACATATACGCACACAGAGGAGCCCCCAGCAATGCGCCAGTGTTGGTGAGTTGGAGCAGCTCCCCATCTCGCTCCCGCACGTCGCCACTGCCAGCCAGTCAGCCAGCCAGCCAGTCAGAAGAAACAGTTAGCTCAGAAAGAGCGCAGGGAGCGGTGGAAGAAGTCAACGGCAACGTCATAAAATTTGTCATCGGTTTTTTTGGTTTTTTCAAACCATAATTATATCAGAGCACCATGATCCTGCTGGAAATCAATAACAGGATTATTGAAGAGACGCTCCTGGTGAAGTACCGCAATGCTAAAGCCGGGTAAGTTTTCTAGCCTCGTGGTTACCTCCCCCTCTCCCCCTTCGTAATTTAAGTACCGTAATAGTGACCCTAATGCTCCACCATTTTGCTTTATCTAGTTTTCCTGCATTCCCCACCGTTATCACAGGTCGATTTCGTTATCAGTTTCGCCTGCCGCTCTCTCTCCCTCGCTCTCTTTGTTTGTGGGGATAAATTTCGGGTGTGGAGCACTCGTCGCTGGACGGCTCTCTCGCTCCCACACACGTTGCCCGCCCCCCACCCTTCGGCCCGCGCTTATTAATTCACTGAAGCTCGTTTATCCGCATCATTGGTGCATCATACATGTATTTGACTCATCGAAAGTGCCTTGAAGTCTATAAATCATGCTGTTTATACTAAACTATGCTGGGGGGGTACTATGGCTCTCTCATAAACATAACTCAAGTCAAGTTCTTATCTTAAAATTATATATATATGTACGTAAGTATGTTATTTGGAGTCAAAGTGGCATAATCTGCAACCTTATTGCGTTTCTTGTCTCAAAAGCTCCTAAAGAAAAGTAAAGACGAACGGCATCCTGAATAGTCCATTATACTATATCAGATGACTTGTGTTCGCCCACATCCGGCACTCCAGAGATCCCACGCCGGGAGACAAAGTTTACAGGTTGAAGTCTTTTGAATCTTCTTCGTGTCTACAATGCTCCAAGAATAATCATGAGTACGAACGGCACATCCTTTGTGATCCATTATATTGCAATAGACGACTTGTGTTTGAATACAATATCCTCAAGGTATATCCTGGAGTCAAAGTGGCACTTCTTGGAACTCCCTTCCTATTTGTGTCTCAAAAACTCCAATAAAAACTAGTTAGACGAACGGCATCCTGAATAATCCTCATATTATAACAGATGACTTGTGTTCGTGTACATCCTGCCTCTCAGAGAACTCCCTATGGAGACAAAGTTTACATGTTAAGGTCTGGAATCCTTTTTGTGTCTACAACGCTCCAAGAGCATCTATAAGTTCGAACGGCACATCCTCTGTAATAATTATATTACAATAGACGACTTGTGTTTGAATACAGCTTTCCTAGAAGAATATTCTGGAGTCAAAGTGGCATTTTTAGGAACACCCTTCCGATCTGTGTCTCAAAAACTCCAAAAGAAACCTTAGTTCGGACGGCATCCTGAATAATCATCATATTATATCAGATGACTTGTGTCTGCTTACAATCTTTAAGCCATCATACCAATAGACATAGACCTTTGGAGTCAAAGTGGCATCTTTGGGAAGTATTCTCTCATCTGTGTCTCAGAAACTCCAAGATAAACTTCTGGACGAACGGCATCCTGAATAATCACTCATATTATAACAGATGACTTGTGTTCGACTACAACTGGTTCCGATTCTGACTAGGGAGCTATTTTATGGCATATTTTAGACCATTCCCCTATGATGTGTGTGAGTTTCTCCCAAAATTAAATGCAAACTAGCGTTGATTTAGTTAGAATCACTTAAGAAGTAAAACTAGTTTGCAAACAATGAAATTTATTTAAAATCCCTAAAGAACTAATCTTGTTATTATGGGTTCTTGCGATAAGATATAACAGAAAGTGACTAATAACCGATCCCATTCTCTTTGTAGACTGAAGCCGGAGTCGATAGACATTAGAATAGCAGACTTTGACGGGGTGCTCTATCACATTTCCAACGTCAATGGCGATAAAACGAAAGTGCGAGTGAGTAATCCTAACTACACCCTTTTTCATCTACATCTCTCTAATAAAACCTTTTTCAATTTATAGATCAGCATATCGTTAAAGTTCTACAAACAACTGCAAGAGCATGGAGCCGACGAGTTGCTGAAGCGTGAATATGGTAGTCTGCTGACTGACACGGAAGAAGGTGCGCTCGCCACCACCACCACACTGCATTTTAAAAAGCTAATTACTCTTTGCTTCTTGCAGGCTACAATGTGTCTGTACTTATCAATCTGGAGGAAATACCAGAGGACTGGGAGCAAATCGCCAAGAGAATCGGACTGCTGAAGCGAAACTGCTTTGCCAGCGTCTTTGAGAAGTATTTCGATTTCCAGGAGCAGGGGGAAGAGGGCCAGAAGCGGGCCGTAATTAACTATCGCAACGATGAGACTTTGTAAGAGTAGTTTGTAAAAAAATATGTAAAATATGGTTATAATCACTATATACTTTGGTCAGGTATGTGGAGGCGAAGCCCGATCGTGTCACCGTCGTCTTCAGCACCATTTTCCGGGACGAGGACGATGTCATCATCGGCAAAGTATTCATGCAGGAATTGAGGGAAGGTCGCCGTGCCTCGCACACGGCGCCGCAAGTGCTCTTCTCGCATCGGGAACCGCCACTGGAATTGGCCAATACGGATGCCAGAGTGGGCGACAACATTGGCTATGTCACATTTGGTAGGTTCCAAGGTTAAAACTAAGAGGTTCTGCTACTTCAGATGGGATTCCATTTAAATAGTTAGGGTAGACTCTGATGTGGAGACAAAGTTTACATGTTGAGGTCTTGAATCCACTTCGTGTCTACAACGCTCCAAGAGCAACCGAAAGGTCGAACGGCACATCCTTTGTGATCCATTATATTGCAATAGACGACTTGTGTTTGAATACAATATCCTCAAGGTACATCCTGGAGTCAAAGTGGCATTATTTGGAACTCTCTTCCGATTTGTGTCTCAAAAACTCCTATAAGAACTAGCTAGACGAACGGCATCCTGAATAGTTTATCATATTATATCAGATGACTTGTGTTCGTGTACATCCAGCTCTTTAGAGAACCCCCTATGGAGACAAAGTTTACATGTTAAGGCCTGGAATCTTTATCGTGTCTACAACGCTCCAAGAGCATCTATAAGTTCGAACGGCACATCCTCTGTAATCAATTATATTACAATAGACGACTTGTGTTTGAATACAATATCCTCAAGGTATATCCTGGAGTCAAAGTGGCATTATTTGGAACTCCCTTCCGATCTGTGTCTCAAAAACTCCAATAAAAACTAGTAAGACGAACGGCATCCTGAATAATCCTCATATTATATCAGATGACTTGTGTTTGTGTACAATTATATTTTAATTATATATTAATTATATTTTGGAGGCTTGAAAACTTCAATAAACCTTAAATATTAATTGTAATTCCATCTTTTTCAGTGCTCTTCCCACGACACACCAACAAAGAAACAAGGGACAATACCATCAACCTAATACACATGTTCCGAGATTATTTGCACTACCACATCAAGGTTAGTCTTAATAGCTTTTAAACTAATCAAAATAACTAAATGAAACCCCTTTTCTGAACAGTGTTCAAAGGCTTATATCCATTCGCGCATGCGTGCAAAAACCTCGGACTTCCTGAAGGTTCTAAACCGTGCCAGACCCGAGCCCAAAAATACGGAGAAGAAAACTATAACGTAAGTCGGAGCTTCAAAAGATTAAAAGACCCAATCTAATACCAAATTTTTCTTGCAGGGGGAGAACATTCAAACGCATTGAATGATGTGTTCAGTATACTTAGTTGCTTTTATATAAATTTAAAAAACAAAACAAAAAAACAAAAATAAATTGTGTATTAAACTGCGAAATCCGAAACATACATTTGGCAAAGCAATGGAAGATCCGATAACAATTATAAACTAGATCAACAAATAATAATAATAACATTAACTACAAAAGTATTCCAAAACTGAAAATTAAGGCTAAATTTAAGCTCAGCATCATAATGAACAAAAATGTAATAGTTACGCGTTAATAATTGAATTGTGTGTGTTGTTGTGTCCAGTCAGCGTCCAAGTCCGTGTCTCCGCCAGTTTGTTACAGTCTCTACTAACCAACCAAGTCAGCAGCATAACCATTGGAAACCAATTAATATTAATACTTAAGTGAACCATGAGAATTATAAGCCCCCTACCATGTCAAAGCGAAATGGAACCAACTTGTTATATATAGTTGCCCCCGCAGGAGATTACACACGCCCCCCCCCCTCCAGACTTAGCCTATATGTGTAGAAAAGCGCATTTAAAAACGTAAAAACCAACCTTTGATACATCAAGCAATCCAAAAACGGAATTAATAAAAACGATTGAATCAAATTGCAATATAAAACTAATCCGGAATCTCTCTATTTTATTCGCTTGTATAATTTATTAGATGTAAGATTATATAACGATTATAAACTACGGCACGGCACAAATACTATAACAGGCACTTAGATCTTAAACTTGACATTCTGCTTCTCGTTCATGCTCTCCACGCTGGCCTGGAGATTCAGATACTCGTTCTGGATGTGGGCGCAAACTGAAAGGATGAAACGGATGAGCCGGAGAGAAGTCAGGGTATCATTTAGGTCTGATATTAGGGGAGTGATAAGTGCTACTTACAGGGGGCAGTGTTCGTACTCCAATGGTCTGTACAGGATGTGCACTGGGTCAGTTCTAAAGCCCTTAGGGATCATCGTACTGTTCCAGTTTGATATAAGCGAGTGCTGTGATAAAGAAGTGCCGGAGCAAGATGGATAGAAACAGTGAGAAATGATTACTTCTACAATCGGGAGCAGCAGATCATATTTTGAAAATAGTCCCTTGTTTTCCTCAGTGTGGCATTAACTAGCGTGCAACAAGAGTGGCCAGCTGGAGGAGTCGTTTATCATTTTGTATATACAAATGCGTGAGCTCGTGTGGCAGGAAAATGAGGGGTGGGTGGAGCTGGAGGAGACCACCAGACAGGAAAAGGGCTTGGCTCGCATTAGGGTGACAGCGAAACTGGGACAGTTGGTACACAAAAACTCCTAAACGGTGTGTATGCGTATGTACAGTGTTCATAATTTGGCAATTTGGCCAATCCCCTCACCCTTCTGTAGATCCATGTCGTCCATTTCGGAGTTCTTGATCTGCTGGAGCTTCTCGCGGAATTTCTTGGTTATCTGCTTCCGCTGGTAGTCCGCCTCGATTTCCTGCTTGGTGCGTGGAATCCGGAACCTCATGCAGCAACAGACCATCACCGCTGCCACAATTAAACCCGGTTAGGTTACTTTGCTAAGTACTCCCTAGTTACACTTACTTATTCCCATTAGGATGCCCAGCACGGTGGCGATGATGTGCCACACACGGAATCCAGCAATGGCCTCCTTTTCCAGCCATACTTCCTTCGGGTCAATGTTAAAGATGTCCGTATCGTCGTCCATATTCGTCGGCGGAGTTGCTCCCGTGGTACGTGTGGCCACCTTGCCAATCCAGTTTCAACTGCTAGCTGGTCGGAACTGGCCTGGCTCGCCTCCTGGCCCGTGGCTCGCAAATTAGTTGGTGAGGGAGGCGTGGCCCCACACACACTCCCTCTGAAAAAATGTAATACGGGGGTGTAGCCATGTGGCCGGCAAACTTGTAAAATAACAAACAAAGGAGTCCTCCCCCTTCCCAGGACACGGCTGGAAAGTGAAAATGTAATGATAGATATTTTAGTGGTGTCAGGACAGGATTACCATCAAGATGGGTTTAGGGGAACTCCAGAATTTTTAAAAACCCTTTTTTTAAAGATAACTCCTTTAAAAGATCCTATACAAATGTAGTTCCATTAATAACCAATTAGTTTAAAAGAAAAGCCTTTCAAAATAGGACCTAATCCGCTCCTGCGTCAGCCCTTAGTCCATTGTGGCTTTGAATGACAACAAACTCGACTCGAGTCCAAGAAACTGGGTGCGGTACCGCGTGCCTCAGGATAAGGTCCTTTGCATACCTAAAGGAGCGGGAGGAACGATAGGAGCTGGAGTCGTGTCCTCCCCCAACAAAAGACAACATGCATATGGTTAGTTAGACGTCCTGCTGGTCACACCCAATTGGATCGGTTAGTTCAGTGGCTCGCTGAGATAGTAACTGCAAAAGTCTGGCCGGAATTCAGGAGGCATACGGTCGGAATACGGACTAATGACTGTGGGACATTTAAGGGAGGGCTCCTGGAATTAGGTGATTGCAATTACTTGTCTGTTGTCGGGGCTGTTTGTTATGAAAAACAAGGCATGTCCTTGTGGTTCCTAATTTCGAGAAATTAATTTGCGAAATAAATTTTATAGAGTGACTTTGACTCATTAATATTCTTTAAAATAATATCTTAATACCTACTGTATATAATTTAAGCAAAAATAAACAATCTTTAACCATAAATTTAATTCAAAATCAGGAAATAGTTAAAATTTTAAAATAAACGTTTCAAAGTTATCGATTGCTGGCGCCACCTAGCGGTAGCGGTTGATCATATCGGGCGTTATCGTAATCCATTCACAACGGAAACCAAAAATCACTCGCTGCATTGTACGCAGGCGCCGGAAATAGGCACCGAGTGGGGCTACTCATTCAACAAAAATATATCCTATCCGAATCCGAGTCAGTTTCAGTTCAGGCTCTCGTTCGGTGGCACATTGCTGGGCGCTCGTCGCAGAAAAGGCATGCAGAGAAAATAAAAACCTAGAAGGCAGTATAGTTGGAAAAAGTTGAGAAAACCAGAGACAAACCCAGGCTGAGGAAAAGCAGGATAAAATAGGAAAAAAAAGGAAGAAGATCCGTGCTGAAACGCTCCTCGAAACCTCGAATCGGGTGTGTGTGCGTGTCTGTGTGTGTGTGAGTGTGAGTGTGTGTACGGAGTACATATGTAATAGGGCCATGAAGTTTTATTGAAAAACGAAGCAGAGACAAGTCGAAAAGGCAGCAGCAGCAGCCCCCACCACTCGATTCGAAGCACACGACCCCCCAGTGGCTCCCCCAATGCACCCGTACTCAAATCGGAGGAGCTGTGAAAAATGCCCCATGCAAAAACTGTGCCCATGTGGCTCCAAATGGGAGTCACCCGTTTGGTAACGTGCAGCTGAAAAAAAAAAAAAATTCGCCCCTCGCAAAAATCTGTTGAGCAAAAATCAAAGCAAGCCAAAGCCCACACAGCTAACCTACATAATAAATTCCTAAAAAAAAATATAAATAATTATAAAAGAAAAAAATTAATTTAAAGAAAAGTTGTAAGAAAAAAGGAAAGCATTTAAAGCAACACAAACAAAGCGAAAATCGGGCCAAAATATGCCAGCGTGAGGGTAAAGTGCGTGGGTGTGTGTGAAAGGTGTAAAAAATGTACATTCTGTGAATTGGCCACATAAAAAACGAGTAACGAGTGTAACGACTAACGTTATATTTAGAGCTGCCGATTCACACGATTCGTAGTTGTTGTTTTTGTCGCTGACCCCCACTGCAGTTGCAAAATTCTAAAACAAATACAATACTATTAATATTTAAAGAAAATATACAAAATAAAAAAAAAATATCAAATATCAGCCCCCAAAATGCACAAATATCTCGAATCCGGCTCCGATTCCGACTCCGTCGATTCCGGCGTTGGCCACATTCCCGGCCAGCAGCAGCATCAGCATCAGCACTTTTACCAGCATACAACGCGCCCCCCCACGCTGCGATTGTGAATGCGATTTAGTATCTGAATCCCACGACTTGCAGCACCTGCCAGCGGCACAGCAATTAGACGCATATAATCCACAAATCAATAAAAAATCACCAAAGCAAAGTAAGCACCGCTTTTCGTTTGTTTCGAACCACTTACACACGCCAGCCAAGCCAAGCGCACAATTGCCAAGTTTATAGTCCTTGTAGCCATAATGCACGTTCAAGCCCTTTTCTTTTGACCGCCAAACTCGCACGCCTATCGCCGCCAATGATCGATATAATATAGACCATATTTATAATGAATATCAAAATATATTATATATTCTTTACTTGCGTTTATTTTGAGAAAAAAGAATACTGTTTCATTTTAAAAAAATCAAAAAATGTTTGCTCATCGATATTTTTGAAAAATTTTTCTAGTTTTGATTTATCAAGAATCTTAAGATCCTTTCCGTCATAAAATTTTACTATTTAAAAGCTTAAAAGTCATATAATTAATGGCTATTTAAAAAATATACAAAAATCTTCAAAAATTAAGATTTAAGGAAAATATTATTTTCATATTATTTTACTTTAGTGTATTCCCACAATACGTTTTTGTCCTTCTTACCTTAATTATTCGTTTTAATTCTTTTTAAACTGTACAACTTTTCTTATTCATAAAATATAAGCATAACATACATACCCTTAAATACTTTTTTAAAGTTTTTTTTTTAGAGTTTTTTATACAGTTTAATATTTGATTTCCCAAATAACATAAAGTTGGAAGTTAAAATATTACAATAAATTAAACTTTTACCAGGTCTTTTCTATTAAAACGTATTATTCAGCTAAAATTCCATATAATAGCCATAAGAAAACTCAAAAAGTATTTAAAAATCGTGACTGTGACTCGTTACTTTCGGATACCTGCAACCTGTCGTGGGTATCGCTCAAGCTCGTACAGGGCGCCTCGTGCACTAACGAATGCGCCACAGGGCCCACCCAATTGAAGCATCACTGATACGCACCGTTGTTGTTTTGCGGACAGAATAAGCTTGTGTTGTTTTATTTGTTGTTGTTAATGGGGCCTAACAGGGTGCCGAGGATTGTTGTTGCTGTTGTGGCCAAATACCAGAGCTCGTAAAATAAAACAAAAGCAAAACACAAATTAAATGTAATTAAGTGCATTTAAATTTTATGCTTACGTGATTGACGTGTGGCGTGTACATGTGTGTGTCTGTGTGTGTGTGCGTGAGACCAGCGATTTTCGGGACGCGAAACAAAACGTGGCAAATTAGGGCTCTTCGGCTCCTCGGCCCTGTCGTCATCCGGGCCAAGTGAATATTTTCCTTTTTGTTTTTTCGGGGGGCTTTTCTGTGTGTGAAAGAAGGCGTGATGTGATGATGGGAGCTCCACATTTGTTATGTCAATAATTAGCAAAGCCAGAAGGAAAAAGGAACTCCGAGATCCGAGAGACACCGCAACAACTGCGTGAAGGTGTCAGAGTCCAAATGGTCGTCCTTTTTCCTTCTTGGGGGATGTCCTTCCCCCTCCTGGATGCTCCCCAGGCGACTTGCATTTGGCAATCACAAGAAAAAAATTGATTTTTTGCCAAATGCGAGAACATTAGTTTTTGTATTTTTGGGGCCATCTTCCAGCTGGAGCCGGCTCTGCTCCAGGTACCATGCCATGCGGACCGGGCCATGTCCAATTGCCAGATTGTGTCTGCGCTTATGCGTTGCTTCCGCTTCCGCTCCGCTCCTGCCCCCTGGCATGATACTTGTCTCCTCTTTTTGAATTACATTAAATATTTAAAGCATATGCAAATTTGAGCAGTGGCCCCGTTAAAGAAATAAAGTACCTGGCCGCGGCCTCAGCGCGATTCTTACAGTTGTAGTTGTTGCTTGTGTTTCCCCCACCCCCCATCCCCCATCCCACCTGCCAGATGACACACCTTTAGTTTGCCTGATTTTGTTTGCTAGAGATGAGCCACAAGCTCCCCCTTTCTAACTGTTAATTGTTGGAAAACGGTATTTTAATTTTAAAATTTAGGTTGAAACTTATTTTATTTTATTTTAAAAAGAATTGGGATCTGATATCTATTATTAAGCTATTATTTTAAATATTTCTAGAATTCTCACAAGAAAGAATTCCTAATCCCGTGATCTCAACACCTTCCTCTTCCCTGCCGCGGGCTCTCATCTCTATTTTCCGGAGGACTTTTTCCTTTTCTCCACCGAGCTTTAGTGTCTTGTAAATCGTTTTGTGTGGTGAGTGTGTTGGCTCTTTTTTATTTTTGGGGTCGGTTCAGTTCGTGTGCCTGAGCCTGAGCCTTTTTTTACTGCTTACCCAAATACCAAGACCCGAAATCACTCACACTCACGCCCATCGTGGTTTTTCCTTTGCAGCAGCTGTGGCTTCAATCTTCCACTTTCCCGCACCCGCTCTAGCTCCCCCTCCCGCTCCTGTTTCCCTTGAATTCAAATGCATTTCGATTGCTTCGTTATGCGCCTGCACTGAGAGAAAAATATTGAAATCCTTGAGGATATTTTAAGTTTATTATTTAAGATTCAAAATATATTTATTCATGACTTAATTACAAGTTTTGGTTTTTTTTTTTAGTGTTTTCTGAGAGTGCAGTCAACTTATATCCTGCGTGTGTGTCAGTGTGTGTGTGTGTGTGAAGGAAGAAGGATTCTTAAACAGCGTTTTCCTTGATTCCATGTGTCGGCAAGGGGTGTCTATCTTGAGCCGCTTCGTGCCTTTCATGGCTTCTGTTTCCATTTCGCACGAATGCTTTCCCGGGCCAACAATCTCATGTCCTTGTTACCCGTCACCCGACCCTACTCCTGGCCCCACCCCTTTCGGCCCACTTGGGCGACACGTGCTCATTATGCCGCTTCAAATTTTACTCCACTTGGGCCAGAGTTTTCCTCGAACCTGCATAAGAAACATCAAATATTAATGTCTAGTACGAAGGTTTTTCATTTAAAATATAATTGTTTTGATTTCGAAGACGAGCTTTTCTGGTTCTGGTCCACCCCACACTGCCCGGCACATGGTGGCTCCAGCCTAGGGGTCACCTCTGATAACCATAACAAGCTGTTTGCTGTTTGCGTTTGGCAATTAAAAACTTGTTGATTGTGGGCGCTGCTCTCGGCCAGTTTCCTCAATACTCTGGGCTAATTGAGATGTAGCCAAACACAACAACGCCCCAACACTAATATTTGATTTATCTGAGTTAGTAGGAGCTTGTAAGCAGGTGGCCGGGGGGCCTCCATAAAAGGTGTCTCTGCCAAAGATCGGTATCAGGTGGAGTAGGGCTCATGCCTCTGTCCATTTTGGTCCAAAACTCGTCTTGACTTGGTCTTATAACTTATATAACCAGACTTGTGTGTGGCTAGTGGAATAGTTTATTGCTTAAAACATCAATGACTAACAAATCCTAATCTCTCTTTCGTTTTTCAGTTGCTGATAACGTAACCCAGTGGCAATAACATAGCATAAACCAACTTGGCTGAAGGGCATTCAGGGCCAGGCCAAGAGTGAAACTACAGCGAAACCAAAAAGTGAACAAGTAAAGCCCTCGAATCCTGTACAAGTCAGTCCGGACGCCGGAGAAGCCACAACGTCGTCCACAAAACCATCGACGTCGACTGCCGCCGCTGCTACCGCTGCTGCTGCTGCTGCCGGAACAGTAACCGGATCGGGAGCAGGACCCACTGCTGGCCATCAAAGGAGCGGCGGACGCAGCGGCCAGCGACGACGCAGTAGCAGCAGTAATCCACACGCCGGCACAACGAAAGCGACCAGCGGCAGCGGTGGAGCTGGCAGCGCCGGCGGAGGAGGCGGTGGCGGCGGAGGTGGAGGCGGGGTCAAGCAGAGCGTCAGCCGGAATAGCAACATTCGGAGCAGCAGCTCCAACAGCACCATGGCCTCGGCGAATCACCGCGGCGGCGGCGGACGAGGCGGTGGCGCCGTCGCCGGAGCCGGTGCCGATGGGAATGCCATTGTTGGCCTCCAGATCGGTTCCGCCTGGTTTCAGCGCAAGATCAACCTGAGGCCGCAGCACCGTGGCGTCCATCTCGTCACCGAGGAGATTCTCCGCCAAATGCCGGAGCTGGCGCACTTTTCAGTGGGATTATGTCATATGCAAAGTAAGTATATCCCTAATGAGGGGCTAGGATTTGGAATTCGGGTCTCAAATGTCAGCTAATCGAGGGCAACAGCTGGTGGCTCTCCCTCGGCATCTAAATGTCCAAATCATCCATCTTATTTTTGGTCAATAAGTATTCTTTCAGCTGAGGAGTAGAGTTTCCGAACTGCAAATAAACTCAATTGGAAAAGTCATCCATAGGGCTATTCGGACAGGGGCAACGTAAAGTTTGCCACTCCCAGTTGCCACTCATGCTCCTGCCTGGGGAATCTCTCTGGGGGAATCTCGCGTCGGCCAAGGAGCTTGCATTTAGTTCAAAGTTCACACAACAAAACGAGGAACTTGCATACCAAATCAGAGGACAGCCCGAAACTTGCAATTCCTTGGGCAGAGCCTGCCAGCTCATTTGTATTAGCCAGCAGGGTAACTGGGCTAAACTGTTCGGACCAAGTCAGTGCCTAACTTGGCCGGGTCAGTGCTCCGGTCCATTTGATTCGGAAATTGCAATTGACATTCGAGTCGAATGGCGAGGATAGACTGTCTTTTGTGACGATGACCCACATGGAGATGGGAGTCGAGTCGAGTCTCTTTTTAAGGATGTGCTCCTGACATGTGACAAGACTTTAAGGTATTTTATTTATTTACGTTCTTGGCCATATACCTCCTGACATGGCCCCCAACACCTAACTCCTTTTTAAGCTTTATATTCCGCTCCTTTCGGAATGCATTCGCAATAATCCCCGGATTGCAGTTCTTCAAAGTATTCTCTCGTCGCTGCGCTGCACTCTGCACACTAATTCTCGCATGGAATGTCCGCTTTCGAGGACTTCTGACAGTAGCTACACTCTGGAAAATATTTATTATCTTCAAAACCCATCTTGTACTTGTTATTTAAATTGAATTAAGTCCGATTTCTCTCTGTGCATATAGTAGAGACTAAGACGACGTGAAGGCAGTGCAAACAGAGAAACAACCTCCAGAGCTGCCTGCCTTGGAGGCAGCTTCTTGTTGACAGTTCGCATTACAATGCCAGGACGCGTTCCTCCAAGCTGCGGCTTTCCATCTCTCTCTCTCTCTTCTAGCCAGGGCAAATAAATAAAATCGTATCATAAAACGCCAGTTGAGGCAGGACTGAGATGGGGAGGGGGCTTAGATGGGAGTTGGCCTGGCTAAAGTGAAAAGCAATCGTCGTCTTAGTCGCAGTCGTCGCTCATGTCTGCATGTCATGGTCTGTGGCTATGGCGTGTGAATGCTCGAGGCGAACATTTCCAGCCCGGCCCTCCCCCTTCCCCGTTGCCAGTCAACACCCACCTCCCCCTGGAAATCCCTCTACCAAGTCCCTACAGAGAAAAAATTATGTATTAATATATTTTGAATTATTTTTTTAATGAAAATTTAAAGATAAATAAAAATATTACTCATACGCCATGTATACACAGGAGAAACCTATTAAAATTTTATCAATAGAATATTTTTTGAATATTGTGGTTCTATCATAAATCTCATTCATCAATCTATTCCAAGTCTATCCATATTACTCATACGCCATGTACGCCCTTGAAACTCAACATATCACTCATACGCCATGTTGGCTGTACTATAATTATGAACTTTAATTAATTCTCCCAGTGTAGCGCTAGCAAATCGTCTTAGCCAGCACATTGCAGGCAAGAGTCTTTATTATTACGAACCTGCCTCCTTCTCCTGCCTCCCTTTATTTTTTTTGCCAAATCAAAAGCACGTGTGTCCCACCGCCTCCTCCGTACTGCCCGCCTGCCCTCCTGCCGTACTGGTGGTGGGCTGTGTGCGTGTTTGTTGTCTGGGGTGCTCACTGTACGTGTATTGTTTTGTGAACTGTAAGCGGAATCTAATTGAGGTCAAGACATGTTTATTGATTTTCTTAAAAGGACTTCCTAATTAGACACACTTTACTAAAGGAAGCTTAAGCCCTCCGCAGGACCCCCCACGCCCCCCGTTCTGGCCACTTTTCATGCAAAAAAATCGAGAAGGGAAACAAATGAAAGTCGCTACCCTGCTCCCCCCGCCCCTTTTCAATCTTCTCCGCTCCAAGGATCCAAAGGAGAGCCAACAAAAAAGTTAATTTCAAACAAAAAATAAAGAGAAATAGGGAAAAATAATTTCAAAGCAACCTTGCCATATGTTGTTGTCTTTTACTATTGACCTGAATAGCCCCTCCGCCACCATTACTTCCGCCTCCACCCATCCCCACCCTCCCAATTTGTTGTTGTTGTTTCTATGGGGAAAAGCGCAAACAACAGGCGGCGAACAAAAAGGGGGCTTGAGGAGAGGGGATTGGGGGAAAGTGGCCAAAAGGACACACAAATCACAAATACACCAAAAATATAAGCCAAATGTAACGGTAACTTGTTAAACACAAAAAACGAGACAGACATATAGAACGGAATTCGAGGAAATGCTGACAAAAAATGATATATCCACCCGGGGTCCGATTTTTTCACCTGAGCCCTGGGAAAGTGTTTCCCCCTCCCCTTGAGTTGGTTACTTGCGGTCTTTCTTTATATTTTTTTATATTAATATTCATATGTGGGGCTAGAAGGTCATTTATAGAACCGAAACACCCCACTGGGAGTCACTGGGGAGTCTCTCCACAGACCCCGATCGAAGTCCCCGTACACCCCATCGCAACGCGGATAATGGCCATTCCGCTAGTTGATTTGTTTTGGACCTTTACTTAATCCCACATTCAAAGGTTAGATTTCAAGGAAGTGATAAGGACATGGGGTTTGAGGTGTGGAATTTTGGAAAATAATAGGTCCATTCTTAGGAATCAGGTATTATCTTTATCCTGACCTCGTTTGAAATGCTTATCCTTTAAATTCGATGCTCCTATCTAGTCCTGGAATTTATTTTTGAAAACTGACTTCATCCTCTCATTTGACATTCAAAGATGTGGCGGGATCTCTCTGGCTCATCCTCACGAGACTCCTTGGAGCCAGAGGATGGCCTTTCCTCGGATAGGATTGGGTGGAGGTGGAGGAGCACCCTCGGCAGCAATTTGCTGCATAATCGCAAGATCATATAAATGGCTCAACTTCAATTTATAACCCGAGCATATTTTTCAGCCAAAGGGAAAAGGACTCTGTTAGTCCTTAGACTGCATGTGTGTGTGTGTGTGTGTGTGTGTGTGTGGAGAGGAGCAACACCAAATAAATCAACAGCCAGCGAAAGCGAAACCAATTGTGGGCGGAGGGAGCAGAGAAATGGAGTTGCGACTTTCGGAGCCTTTAACATTAAGTATATATTTTTGGTGTGTGGGCGTTTTTGGCCATTTTTCTTTTTGTTTTTTTTTTGCCTCATTGCTGTGGATACACTTTCGTGACGACAGGGAAACTGCGAAAGAGGAAAAAACAAACGGAAAAGCTAGGAAAGCTAGCAGTGGAGGGGTCATTGGAGGAGCAAGGCGACAGAGGAAAATGGAGGAAAAACAAAAAGGAAAACAAATCGTGCCATGTGTGTGTCATACTTTCGGCTTCCGTTGTGTGCGAACCGAGGACCTTATTCTTTTATTTCCATTCTCCTTCTGTGTTCTGTGTCGTCCTGTGTTGCTTAGCATTAAAATTGCTCGCTTATGAACCGCAAAATGCTGCGCTACCCAATAAATCAATATTATTTATGCAAAACGAGCACGCCAAAGGTTTTGGCCCGCCAGTCAGCCAGTCAGCCAGTCCGCCGGCCTCTGGCCCGCTTTTCCAATTTTCCAATCCCCAGTATCGTTCGTGTGCTTGAACTAGTTCCATTCCGTTCCGGTGCACCAACACCTGACACCAAAAATAAAGGACATACTATATACTGGTATATGGTTATGGGTGGGCTATATGGTTGGGGGCTGGTGGCTGGTGGCTGGGTGGGTCTTATGTCCTTAAATTTCTCCCGGTGTTTGCCGATTTCTGGCCAAGAGTCTCGGGATAAGCATAAAAGTCAACGGCTATGTAATAAGAAGGTTGATGAATTTAAGCATTTCCTTCAGCATTACCTTATGTAATACACGCACAGACACACCTAAGGACACTCACGTGCTATCGTACAGTAGAGGCTATACTAATAGGATTTAAGATTACTCAAGATATTATAGAAAATCTTAAGATTCTAGGAAGGATATAAGCATAAACTTATAAAGGGGGCGCTGCCTTGTAATAGTAGTAGTCCTAGTATCCTTCCCGCGAGTGTCTGGAAGGATCTCTGTCTGAGTGCGTGTTTGCATGAATATATGAATGAACACAGCCAGCTGAGCTGAGCCAAGTTGAGTTGTGTCGAGTCCATTGTTAAACACTAGGGGTACGCTTCTGGATGTGGGTATAGCAGTGGGTGTAGCTATGGGTGTGTTGTATCTGTGTGAGCATTGCGGTTGTACATACACACACATAGATATGTACTGTGTGTGTGAGTGTGCTTTGAGCTTGTTTGTGCTGTCAGAATGTTTGACTTTGTATAATAAAAGGCCTCTTTAAAAACATTAGCAACTTTTGTAGTGCCTAAACGCCTGCTACATGTGGCCAGGACACAGTCCTCCCCACCCCACCATATCGCCCCCCACCGACCCACTCCTTGGCTGGCACACACCCACACACGGGCAACTAAACAGCTAAACAGTCGGCCAAAACGATGCCACCTGCTACTTAACGATGCGCACTACACTGAGAGAAAAGACCGATAGTTAAAGTTTAATAAAAGATATAAAACTAGACTAATGGTTTAGACCATTTTTCTCAGTGTATAAACGTTTATTAACGCCAGGTCGTTGTCATAGGCCAACATAGAGTCCCCTTACCCCGCCGGCTGGGCCTGTTAGCGACCACAAAGCCCATGGCTAAATCATATTACAGACGTCCTCCGCGTGGCCACCGGCTTAACACCCCCCCCCGGCCCCCCACGCGTTCCATTTACGGTGGCACGGCAAAAGTGTCAGTCGAGTATTCCAGGCGGATGCGCCAGTTAGCGAGGAGTGCAGGGTGCAAGGATATAAATGTGCATGGAATGTGCAGGACGAACTGTTCAAAGGCTCTACTCCGCATAGCAGACATTCGCTAAATTATGTTTGGGCCATTAACATAGTAGGATACACTTAAGAAAAAGCTTTAGAAACTAATAATTGGATTGGATGGATTCAGAAGCTTGTGCATTTAATTTTCTTAAAGGACAGGACATCCGTCCTCCATCTGGTCCTGCAATCAATTTGCAAATTTGTTCTGCCTCCCCCATCAGCTGTCACTTTGGTTTCATTTTCATTTGCATTGTCCGAGCGGAGCCGGGCACTGGCTGGCTGGACAGGACAGCCTCCCCTGATCAGCTCGATGGTTAATATTTAAATTCCTGATGCCATTTACATATGTTCAACATGACATAATCGGCTCTGAAATTATTTAGAAAGAAACTGTGTCCAGAGGCACCCAAACGAAAATCGGAACTTGGACATAAACATTGGGCAGGACAGGCACATACATACATATAAGGACATTTCAAGTCTCTGCTCAGGGGGCCAGAAATTACATCTCAGGGACTTGATAATAAACTAATTTTCACTCGGCTGCCAGGACCAAGAGAGCTTTCTCTTTTATTCATGAATACGCAATTAGTGTGCAAATTTAAGTGTCGGAGGCCCGTGCCGCTTCGCTATTTATATTTGTATCTATTATTAATACTAAATGCATTTTGAGTAAAATATTCAATTTCTGCTCCGGCTCAGCTCAGCTCGGCTTTCGTTTGACATTTTCAGCGCTGGCCATATTGGCATTTGGCCAATGGAACAGCGGCCCTCGAATGTAGGCAATTATTGTTCAATTTTCAGCTCTAGCCATGCTCGCTCGCCCTTTCCATGGATGGGGGGGTCGTATCATAAATTTGTCAAACAATTTTGGACAAAATGTAAAGCGGAATTGTTAGTTGGATTTGTTTGTAGACTTGTGTGTTTTCAGTGGTTTTATTATTTGTTGTGGCATAAAATTAAAGCCACTCCGCCGCCAGACATTTGCTTGTAATTTGTTAACATAATTGCTAATTGAAAATCAGCAAAAAGCATAAAACATGAATTTTCAAAAGTGATTAGAAATAATGAATAATTGGTTAAAATCAATGGAAAAATGTTTCTCTCAAAACTTTTATGCTGCAATACCCATTCGCCAATAAAAACTACAAGGTTATTTTTATCCACTCCGAAGAGTTTATAACTTTTTCGTATTTATGGACTTTTCCACTCGAGCTCATTAAAAATCCTCCCCCTCCCCCCCGTTTAATTGGCCATATCGTTTCTTGTCATATAATTTATGGGGGATATCCATGATACGTTATCAATGCAACATTCCATGCCTGACTTTCATTAAATGCCCGAACACTTGGCATTATATCTTGACTAATTGGCGCTACAACTCAATTGCAGATAGAGTCGGGCCGGGCCAACGCCTCGTCGTCCTGGTCTAATAACTCTCCCCCTGGGTGGGATGGGGTGGTGGAACAATTCAAAAATCATTATTATAATCCCACAGACAACTAATTATCTTTGTTTCTGGGCTTGTTTCTCCTTCAGTTCTTCACACCTCGGCGAGTTTAGCGTTAAACGAAAGCTGGGATCCAGACGTCAGGTGAGTACAACGGCCAAGTCCATTAGGTATATCTCGGCTAATACCCAAACCAACTAAACGATCTGCTTGCAGAGACGACATGGAGATGATGTTGAATAAAATAGTTCCCGAAGGCTTGCCCTACAGGCATTCGTGCGAAGGACCCGACGATATGGTGAGTCCATGGCCCATTATGTTAGTTACTCCAATCCAATAATCGTCCATCCATCCACAGCCCGCGCACGTCAAGGCCTGCTTCCTGGGCAGCTCACTGACAATCCCGATTACCGACGGCAAGCTCTCGCTGGGCACGTGGCAGGGCGTGTGGCTGTGCGAGCACCGCGACCAGGCCGGCTCCCGGAAGCTGGTGATCACGCTGACGGGCTGTCCGCGAGAGCAGGCTCGCAGCCCGCTGTCCCCCGTCTCGCCGATCGCCAGCACGTCCAGTTAGGGGCGGCCTCGCTCCACCCGCGACAGCCGGTAATCGCGGGGGAGCGACAATAATGCCATCATTTCGTCGAGGCGGCTGATACTGCAGAATAATTTAGCTAGGGCGACGGCCCAGCAGCGGGCGGCGGCGGTGATTGCCGCCGGGCGGGGGGGATTGGGCGGCGGATGCCAGGCAAAGGTGGCGCCGCCTAATGTCCCCGGCGTCGAGACGAAGACCGCCCGCCTGCTGCTCCGCCAGCAACTGCACCTCAATCTCAATTTGAACGTGCAGGAGACGCTGCGCGATGGCGTCGATATCGATGATGTGGACGAGGATGTCGGCGACGATGAGGAGGAGGCGACGACGACTACGACTTCGGAGCGACTCAGCATCGTGGCCACCGGTGATAATCTACAAACCGTCACAACAGTGCCTCAAACCAATGAACAACTTAAAGCTAAGGTCACCACCACCACAGCAGCATCCAGTTCATCATCTTCAGCAGCAGCAGCAGCAGGAGGAGCAGCAGCATCCAGTGCATTAGCTAAATTCAACCGCATCATAGACTCCACAATGGAAAGGCCCCAGGCAGCGTCGGCGACGGCAGTTGCCACACTGCCCCAGCTGAGCAGTGCCACACTGCAGCAGCGCTTCAACCTGGCCTATCCGGAGTTGGTGACCCAACAACAACAACAACAGCAGCAACACCAGCCACACCAACCACATGATGCGGGCAAGCAGAACAACAGCAGCCTCAAGGGGAACCAGAGATTAGATCGTGGCTCAGGCGCCGTTGCCAGCACTCCATTAACATTTCAAGCACACAAATCTTTAGCAACGGCGAAGGAGAGTGAGAAGGCGACTCGGCGGGAGGAGGATTACCCACAGGGGCATCCTCTCGACGAGGCCGCAGGAGAGGATTACGGCCCGAACGACGATGATCATCCCCACCACGACGAGGATAATCAAATGAAACGAAATGATGTGCATTATTTGTTGAAACAGTTAAATAGTTTTAGTGATATAGAAGAAATAGAAATTGTTGATATGAAGCAAAGGGAGCAGCAGCAGCGTCAGTGGCAGCGGCAAGGGCAAGGGTCAGGGCAGCGCCCGGAGCAGCCGCGACCTATGCCGATGGCCTCCAGCTCGCTGGTGACCATGGTGCTGCCCAACTCGCCCACGCCCGCGTCACCCTCCACGCAGTCGCACAAGCTGGGCGTGAGCTCGCTGCTCCTGCCGCAGCACCAGCCCCAGTTCGACGACTACCTGTTCGAGTCCTGCCACTACTTGGAGACAAACTACTTTGCCGCCACCTATCGCACTGCCATGGTCGAGAGCAGCTCCCACGAGTTCCGGCCCTCGACCAACAGCAGCTCGAACAGCTTCGAGCTGCACGAAATGGAGCCACCCAGTGTCATCTGCAAGGCGGCGCCGCCACCACCACCTCCGTCAGCTCCGCCCGAGTACCGTCAGTTGGAGACGCGCCTGACCACCAGCGGAGTGCAGACGGAGCTCACGGCCGAGTCGCTGGCCAAGCTGAGCAACAGCACTAGCTCCTCGTCGACGAGAGCGCCCCCGTTCTTCCGGTGCTGTTACACGCCCATCGATCGATGGCGGGAGAAGCGTCAGCAGAAGAGCTCCTCCACTCCCGGTCCCGGGTCCGGTTGCGGATCTAGCTCGGCGCCGCCGAAGAACGTCTGACACTGGGTGTGGGCTGCCACTCGGAGATCCAACATGTGCCTGGCTAACCTATATCAGAGATGCAAGCAGATTGGGGATTTCTTTGGATATTTTTCGAAGCTAAAAGAGCGAAAGCAAGTTCTTAGCATTTTTTTCCACTTAAATTTCACCTTAAAACCATGTTTTTGGCTAGTTTCTTTCACATTCCTAAAGTTTAGAATTTATATATTGGAAAATATTGGAGGAAATCCGGACAGTTTGCTGCATCCCTGCTACCTAGGACGCTGTTCTCATTTGCGATATCAACAAGAGATTCCATTTCGAAAGACAGTCGACACACGACACTCGTATCGCGTACCCTAATCATTCGATGGAAAGTTCATTACTGTACAATTTATATATGCTAAAACATAAAGATTAACAAATATTAGTAAACAAATTTTTTATAAAAACACCAACACGAACACACAACATTCGCACATCTTTGCAATACACCAAAAAAAAAAGAAAAGAATTGGAAACTTTGTATAAAAACTTGAGATCTGTTCGCTGATGAATTGCTTTCCAGAATGTATGTTTCAGTGATTCAGCATTGATTTTGAAACAATGATCATAGATACTCTGGTGGGCATTTGCCATTGCTGAACTCAACTTGGGCCTAATGTATCCGAAGATGTTTCGACAGAATATTGTTAAAGAATAAAACCTAAAGAAAATGTAGACAGAAGTGGGCAGAAGACGAGAGCTTGTATAGTAAGTTGATAACTAAAATAATTAAAAAATCATGTTGATGATATCAAGTCACATAGATGAAGAGACGCGCACGCCAGCACTTTTGTTCAAAAACCTAGATTCCTCCTCCTCCGCTTCCACCAAGTCCCCAGTACCAGGTCCCAGTCCAAGCTCGAAATCCTTCGAAGTTATCAGCGTGCGCGTTGGTTTGTTAGACCCTTAAAAGAAAATTAACCAAAAAGGACTAAAGCAATTGTTACATCAATTAGAACACTGTTTTTGTTGAATTATCATTTAAGCAATCCAAGTTTAAAGTCGAAAAGATGCATATTCAGTTTCGAAATTTTAAGATTTTAAGGAATTGTTGTTAGAGCACAAGGAGAACCTGCTATACAAGCAAAGAAAATTACAAATTACGATTCAACTCTTAACCAACCAAGAGCAATATTAGTTATAAATCAGTTTCGATTTGTCAATTTTGTTGAAAACATATACGCAAATAAAACTAAAAATCAAATATATCACTAACATAACTAAGCCTCGAGATCACGCTTTGGTTTATCGAAAAAAAAAATTAAATAAATATATATCCGATTGGAAATGCGATCTGCAAAACCAAAAAAAAAAAAAAAAAACTGAAAAACATTTTTTCTTTCTGCTCAACTACGACGAACTGAGACGACGACTCGGTTTCAGGATTTTCAGCTAAGTTCTTCCAACAGAAAGTGCAGATCTGTCTCTGAGGTGGAAAGACACAAGAAACCGCATAAATGCCTTTACATGCCCACACGTACACTAGAAAGAAATCGTAGTAGGATCCAGTAACCAGTATCTAGAGTGGTGACGAATGTTAGTCAATAATACGCTGTGCTGCATAGAAAAGTCACTTCTGTAATCCGCAAGCGAAAGTGAACTAATTTATTTGAAACATATATATCAACATGTTGATTGTGTTAATCATTGAAACGAATGGCATAACAAATAAGTTGTTAACAAGAAGTTAAAAAATAAAAAACAAAAAATATTAAAAATAAAAGAGACCGTTGAGGATGGGAGCTGAAGCCGTTAGTAAAATTACCTATTGTTGTATGTTTTATTCGAAGCGCACGAAATTAAATAAACATTAACGTAATCGTAATTAAAGCGGAAGGAAAACTGTAGGTAATGTGAAATTTTTGTAAACTTTTTGATATGTGATGATGATTTGGATAAATTAGAGCCACAAATGGGAGATAATTATTACCTTAACCTAGCCATAGATATTTAAACTAATTTAAAAAAAATACAAAAACGAAAAACATGTAGCGCTAAAATGGAAAGCTAGCTAAATTCTAAGAGAAGGATATGAAGGATAGTAACCATCAGTCGGATGCATCAGTCGCTCTCAGTTGTTATGCAATAATATTTAATTATAGTAGTCTCGGCCAGCCGAAGCACCAATCAGGGCTCCTTCCGGGCCTCCTCTAGGACCGGGAGCCAGGAGCCGGGAGGAGCTGTTATTATTAGCAATATTGAATATTCGATTCAAGGCAATTCAATTGTATTAACGACTTTGATAAATCTGAGGAGCTAGCGAATAGTGAATGCATTGTAGGAGCCTAGCTAAGGTACCCCTAGCCTAGCCCCCGGTACGGTCATTGATAATGAAATTGATTATGAAAATGAATACTAAGTGTAACTAAGCGATTAAGTAGCGAAAATATATTCAATTGTAAATAGAATTTCCTCATTTACGATATGTCTTGACTTGGTTCGTTGACTGGTTTTCATTCAGACAATTATATGTTATCATGGGGAAAATAAATGACCGACACAGATACACGAAAAAGCTTTAATTAATTTAATTACAAACAATGAGAAAAAAATGAAGGAAAATATAAGAATCTACTACAATATGTATTTAACAATAATCATTTTTGATATCATTCCCCATCATGGTAAAGAAAGAATCCATTGTAGATACCTATTGAGCAGCAAGTACCATAATTAATTAAATAACTAGGCCGCTAAGAGTCGTCAATGTCGCCTAATGTGAGTTCTATATATTGCATCAGATTTAACAATAACAACCGAGAGCATAATTAGCTGAAAACCAAACAAGATGCAACTAATTGTAATCAGAACAGAAGAAAACAGAACATGCCTATTATAAAAAAAACACCCACAACACCATACAAACACACACACACTCGACACAACTCAAACACTAAGCTTTTATAAAAACTATTTAACAAAAATCATATATATATATATATACTATGGAAAATAATAATCCTGCCAAGTAACATTCGAATACCTGCTTGAAGAAGATACACCCGCTTTTGCTAAGAAACCAAAAAAAAAAAAATGAAAGAAATTTACTAAAGAAATAAAATCCAAAATCGAAACCGAAACCGAGTAATGGACAAGATTGAGAAAGAGACACTATGGCTAAATACGATTTTTATACTTTCGATATAATGATTTTTTATACTAAACATAAACAGAAAAATGGAACTTTTTGAAACGAAGAAGACAGCCCAAAAACTGAAGTTGGTGATTTTTTGAGGTATCGAGATTACAGAATCGCTTTCATTTCAGAATAGAAAGAAAATAAATAACATAATTATAGTTGAATATATATATATATATATATATTAATTATATATGTATGTAAACCCTAACTGCAACTATGGAACGAGAGCACAAATTTTGTTGAACAAAAGCAGAGAAAAGTGTAACCAAAAATCAAATACTAAACAGACGAAAATGTTTTTTAAGTCCAATTTTCAACATCTACACACACTCCCACACATACACCCACACACACGCAGCAACATTAAATCAAATATATACTAAATATATATAAAAATGTATATATTTAGGGATCGATTAATTAAAACAAACACCTGCACAAATCGAATCGAAAACAATGACCCGCAGACAGCAAACAATTTCTATCGAAGAACAAAATTTTGCCTACGACAGTACTTTTTGTATGAGCAACCGATTTGTAAATATATATATTTCTTGATTTTATCTAAAAACCAAAAAACCAAAACCACTAATAGTAAATCATTTGGGATCCTTAGTTTTATCTTGAAATTGCAAGCGAATCGAAGAATGGGGCGAGTGGAGTGGTGGCCGCCCCATCAATTGCGACTAGCATGAGACACTTTTTCTATATCTAACCCCAGATATCGAAGTAATAAGCGAGAGCATACATTTAAATGCAAAAATTATACCAAGAGTCATGAACAATGTCAGCTACAATAACTTAGCAAAGTGGAGAGATCGAGTGGGGGCGGAAGGCGAATGAAATTAAATATTAGTGCAATAAATAACAAATTATTCGGTATAATTAAAATGGAAATACATTTAAGTAAACGCTTTGTAAAATACATATAAACAATTTATTAAAAAAAAAACAAACAAACCAAAACAAAAAACAAAGAAACAATAAAATTGAATAAAACCAAAAGGAAAGTGAAACACTATTGAGTAATAAAAAGCGTTATGCATTGACATTGACACACGTGATTCGATATCTCATCTTATAAGCATAAATCAATAAGATAACAATAAAGAATAAATTCAAGAAAATGCAAAACATCGATGCCTTGTGCTACTTAACGAATTACATTTATTTAAACATTAAAATTGGCGTTGGTTTAATCGATACATTTTACAGATATAGCTGCGAACTCTACGAAACAACAGAGATTGGGGCTTAATCTAGTCAAATTAGGACGAAAACTATTGCTAGGACTACGGCTGCTGCATGACGGTGCGAACGTATTTGAGAACATCCCCGTTGGCCAGGATCTTCATGTGGTCCACGCCCTGGAGGGCGAGCGTGGACACTGGCGCGCTGGAGTAGCCCGACCAATACTGGCAGGCTCGCAGGGAACGCTGGTTGACGGTTCCGTCGCCAAGGCCCATGATCAGCTTGGGCGTTTCGTCCGCAATAGTGGACTTTTTGTACTGCAATCTGTTGGAGATCGTTAGACTTCCCTTATCCTTATCCATGTTAAGATCCACTTACCTTTCCACTGTGTCTAAGCCATCACCGTAGAGACAATGCAGCTCTACATCCGGGGGGTTGAAATTTTTAGAGTAACGCAACGTATCCTTTCGCATTTCCCAGCCAGTCATGTAGTCTATGTCGTTGAAGAACTCCTTGAGCTGTGCCATTGTATAGTTGCGCGTGGGGGTTGTGGCCAACACCTCCGAGGGCTTCCAGAACAGCGGGGATGGCAGCAACCAGGCGGTCGAGGGATGCGTTATCTGCTCGGCCTTTAGGATCTTAGCACTGAGCGCGAAGGAGTCAAGGTCGTCGCCCATGGCAAACACCTTCACCGCTTTGAAACTGCCCGCCCAGGCTCCCGCCAGGCTGATCTGGCGCCGCACGTACTTATTCTTCCAGGCCAGCGTCTGCTCTTGCAGGAAGATAAGCGTCATGGGACTGCCCATGCTGTGAGTAATGAATGTGACGGCCGACTGATTGTTGGCCTCGTATGTGTCCTCGACCAGTTGCTTGAGATCAATGAAAAATTGCTTGTTTTCATCTAAAAAGATAAGAAAAATGCTGAATAAAATTAAAAATTTCAATGAACATGAAGCCGTATCTTACTTGGCGCCTTGCGGAAATCATAGGGCGCGCCGTGAATGTTCATTTTTCGCACATAGCCCAGATCCACCAGCACGTTGGCTATGTCCTTGAAGTAGGCTCCGGCGCTGTTTCTCGTGGGATCGATCCACTCCACCACCTCGGGATCGCCCCAACCAGGTATACGGGTCTCCACTCCTGGTGTGTTGTGCGTCGTCCTGGTTGCCTTATCGTAGTACAACTTGACGTTGTCGATCCAGCAGTAGACCATGGGTATTACCAGTTGCTCCAGGTCCAGCCAGAGATTGTACCAATTAGATGTCTTCTCACACACGAAGTATGGCGAGCTGGATTTGTTCAGGCGGGCATCCAGCTGGCATCCGCCATCACCGGGCACTGAAATTCGCAGAGTTCAAAGTTTAGAGGTCAACCTTGGCGAGATGAAAATCAATAGGCTCACCAAAAATCACTGGCGATAGCTTTGGTTCAGGAGGTGGCGGCGGCGGAGCAGGTGTTGTGCTAGTTGTGGGCCAAGGCCAAAAGCCTTCAGATGGCGCCAAAAAAATGGCCACCAGCAGCCCGAAGAGGATGCCTGAGTGTTGGAGCCTCATCGTGCGATGTGCGTTTGGGGGCAAACAAAGCGCGAGTGACGTGCCTGCTATATGCTATCACCAGATAATGGTCGCAGTCAATCACAAACAAGTGAATCAGCCTACAAAGCTTTATAATAATTGTTATTCCACTCAATGGATGGTACGATGGTTATTTGTCTGCGCAGTTTCCATCAGCTGATTTGTTGACCTTTAGAGCTCGTCATTTATTTACGGAACTCCACAGCTATGTTGTGGGCTCCCGCTGTCGCAGATCCTCTCCCGAGTATCAATGTTTTAACAAAGAATTTGTTTTCGTCATATTGTTATTTTTTTTTTCTCTTATCGCAATTGCACAGTTTGTTATTCTCAGCAGTTTTTGGTGTCCCCTTTCCACCTGCCCGAATGGTGTGACCAGGTGCGGTAGGGTTTTCCCTTTGTCAGAGATGCTCACCGAGTAACCAGTGACTTCTATTCAGATTCGATTTCGACAATGTCACTTTTGCTAAATCAATGTTAAATGTTAAAATATATAAAAACATCAGTATATATCTAGACCTTGATCTGGTACCTGATCTCTAATGAATACAAATATATCATACATATACCACGAAAATTTAAAAAAGTTATCGGTTTTCGATTATTTTGTTCAGTCCACCAACAGTGAAGCGCGACCGGCAAATAAAATTGTTTTTCCCACCTAACATTCCGCCGATCCCAACAAACAATAGAAATGCAGGAGTTCTTCAGCGTGTTGCTGCCGGATGTGAAGAAGGAGCTGCGGCGCGGGATCGTCGAGTGCTCCAAGCGCGGCCTGCTGCACACCACCAAGTGGCTGGCGGAGATGCATCACGGACTGAATGACGTGCAGATTGACGGCGAGGAGGCCACGGAGGAGGACCGCACCTTCAGTGAGTGCCAGCTGGAGGGCATCGCTCCTGCGGAGTACAGCGACTACTTTCTGGCCAAAAGCTACTACGACGTGAGGGAGTACGATCGGGCTGCTCATGCGGTACGCAACTGTGAGTCCAGTGTGCCGCGCTTCCTACACTTCTACTCCACATACATGGCGCGTGAAAAGCGCCGCCTGGACTCTACCACCGACCAGGCGAATCTCAACGAACCGAATCAGATGCGAGACCTTGCGGACTTACTGTCCACCCTGCGCACAGAGTATGGAAAGAGTCGCTTGGATGGCTATGGCATATATCTCTACGGAGTCGTCCTGAAAGCCTTGAATCTCAACCAGGCTGCCGAGCAAATGCTGATCCATGCCATACGCCTGGTACCGATGCTGTGGAGCGCCTACCTAGAGCTCTCGCCGCTTATCATGGAGAAAAAGAAGCTGCTTAGCCTGCAGCTGGGCGGGCACTGGATGCGCCACTTCTTCATGGCCCACACCTACCTAGAGCTGTACCTAAACGACGACGGCTTGAAGATCTACGAGGATCTACAGACATCGGGCTTCAGCAAGAGCATATACCTCATTGCTCAGATGGCGCTGGTTTATCACAATAAGCGCGATGTTGACAAGGCCATCGAGCTATACCAGGCTCTGCTGGAGAGCGATCCCTATCGCCTTGACAATGTGGACACTTACTCCAACCTTTTGTTTGTTAAAGAGATGAAAACTGAGATGGCACAGCTGGCCCACAAGGCTGTGAGCATTAACAAGTACCGTCCGGAAACGTGTTGTGTGATAGGTGAGATCTCTGAAATCATTCCTATCGTATTTTTAAATGGCTTTCTTATTCATTTCTTTAGGAAATTACTACAGTATTCGCTGTGATCACCAGGTGGCCATATCCTACTTCCAGCGTGCCCTCAAACTGAATCCAAAGTACCTTGCTGCGTGGACTTTGATGGGTCATGAGTTCATGGAGCTGAAAAATACAAACGCTGCCATTCAGAGCTACCGGAAGGCGGTAGAGGTCAACAAGAGGGACTATCGCGCCTGGTACGGCCTGGGCCAGGCCTACGAGATCATCAAGATGCACTACTATAGTTTGTATTACTTCAAAATTGCGCATCAGTTGCGTCCTTATGACTCGCGGATGTTGGTGGCGCTCGGCGAAACCTACGAGAAACTGGACAAGTGTGAGAACGCGGTGAAGTGCTACTGGAAGGCCATCGACGTGGGCGACATCGAGGGCATCGCCATGTACAAGCTGGCCAGTCTGCACGAGAAGCTCGGGGACCATGAAACAGCCGTCCATTGCTACATAATGTATTGCGAAGATGAGCGCGCGGCCACCGACAAGCAGAGCCTCTACCAGGGATTCATCACGCTGGCGAACTATTATGAGAAGAAGGCCGACTACGAGAGAGCTGCCTACTACGCTTACAAATGCCTGGACTCGGATGATGTGAGTGGGACTCTGACATTTTGTTACATTGAAGATTTCAATAATCATCTTTCTTTTCAGCGCAAAACGGAGGCCAAGGCCCTGCTCAAGACCATCGACTGGAAGCGCAGTGCGGAGTGGAAAAAGGGCAAATCTAAGACAGCCACGACTGTGGCTAATGCGGAAACCAGTTCAGAGGATGAGATGGAGTGGGAGCATCCGGACGTGCGCTCTCGCGTGCCTACCACCACGACTACGACTACAGCTGATGTGGCTGGACCGAGCACTTCAACGTCCAGCGCCACTCGCTCTGGCCGATCACTGGCGGAGGGATTGCGTCGATCCCAGCCCAACCGGTCAAGCTTAAACCCCGGTGCCAGCAGCACCGCAACCAACACAACCTCTTCGGCAACGGAAGTGTCGAATGCTGCGGATGAAACTCCCAGGACCTCCAGTGCAGGGGAAAATCCTAACGCAGAACAGCAGCCCTCGGATGATGGCAGTTCGATGGAAATATCCAGTGTCTCCATCGATTAGATTTCAGTGTACAAATTTAATTTCGTTTTTATCAGTTATATATGAAAAATTAAAATCATCTAGTCCTGTCGCCAAGCAATGGATTAGGTTGCACCTTTGATACACCATATTTGGTTTGTAAACAGAATTTGTAAATTTAAATAAAAGGTTTGAATTGTTTCGCGCTCATATTCAAATTAAAGTAAGGTTAACCAACACTGAATTTCTAATCAGCTGTTTTTGGCGATACGGCAACACTCCTTCAACACAACGTAGATCTGAGAGTTTTAATAAACAAACAAAAATTAATGGAGTTTCCGGATAAAATGGATCTGGAGAACGAGAGGGTTCTTAAGCTGATATTCCCTGATGGAGTTCCAGGTGGGTAAACACATCTAAGCTTGAAGATTTCTTTGATTTGATCTTTGTTGGACACGTCCCACAGAGAACCTGCGTGGCAATCCGGAACTGGACAATTATTTGTCCAAACTGGGCACTTGCAAGGTGGAGCAACTGAAGAAGGAACAAACCCGATTGGCCGACGAGACGCGTAGCATCCTGGAACAGACGCAGGACTTGGCCATCTCGAATTACAAGACCTTCATCACCACGGCGGAGAACTCGCGTTCTATTTTCAGCGAATTCCTGCGAACCGAGGAGCAGTTGGCTACTCTCGTGGGTCAGTTGCCGGCTCTCAGCGAACGGTGTGAGGGGTTCCTAAAGGATTCGGCTGAGTTGAGCGAACAGCGACGCCTCAACTCCATTACGCTGCAAAAGAATGCCCAGCTACTGGAGGTACTGGAGCTACCGCAGCTTATGGAACGATGCATCCGTGAGGGGCGCTACGAGGAGGCTTTAGAGTTGGCTGCCTATGCTACCCGTCTGGGCCAGCATCAGGGTCACATACCCGTGGTTAAGGTGGGTCTTCCTTGGTGAACTATTTCATGTATTAATTGTTCTTGGTTTGTAGAGCATTGTCCGTTCGGTGGAGGCATTGTGGCACACCATGCTGGTTCAGTTGGTGGCTCAACTTCGCACAGACTTGCAGCTGCCAAAGTGCTTGCAAATAGTGGGCTATTTGAGGCGAATGCAGGCTTTTGGAGACAACGAGCTGCGACTGAAGTTCCTGCAGGCCCGTGATGCTTGGCTGAACTCCTGCCTTGAAGCCATTCCAACGAGTGATGGTGAGTTATGCTGGCCCCTTGTTCCTGAATTCTTTACTAACTCTCTCCTCTTTCAGCACAACAACACTTGATTAAGACCATTGAGATCACACGCATCAATTTGTTCAACATCATCACTCAGTATCGAGCTATTTTTCCGGAGGATGAGCCGGCTAGCAAAGTAGCTCAGGCGCCACTCAAGCCGCTGCAAGGCGTGAGCTGCAATGGTGACCGCCTCTTTCAGGCCTGGCTTCACAATAAGGTTGGTACTTATGGTAGAAAAATATTCTAACTCCAATTTAATGCTTAACTATCTCGCAGATTAACGCCTTCTTGGAAACCCTGCAGCGTGACTTGCAGCTTGGCGTGGGATCTGTGGAAACTGTCCTGGGTCAGTGCATGTACTTTGGGCTATCCTTCAGTCGGGTGGGAGCTGATTTTCGAGCTCTGATGGCCCCTATTTTCGTTGACGTGATCCGACGTCGATTTGAAACCAGTGTGGAGGAAGTAAATGTTCAGTTTGAGCGGGAGCTGGACCGCTTTACGCTGATCAACAAAGTGGCCTTGCATTTGCATTCCCGCAAGCAGATGGACCCCGATCAGGAGTCTTTCGCCCCGCCGGAAACCTTGTTGGACTTCTATCCCCTGGCTGCGTTGTGCAATGGGTATCTGGGCGCCCTGAACGAGCTCCGGCTGTGCGCTCCCTTGGCCTTGGCCACTGATGTGACCCGTTGTTTGGAGCGCTCCTTGCACCTAGCAGCCCAGCGAGTACTAGCCTTCTATCGCCAGGAACAGCAGGCCTTTGCAGGAAGCGAACGCGAGGCTTTTGTCCGGCTGTGCTCGTGCTTGGCCTACGATTTGGTTCCATACATTCAGCGCTGCATTCATGGAGTCTTTTCGCCACAGGCTCTAACCGTTCACCTTGGCATCAGCCTGCTACAGCTGGAGCAGCAACAACTCACATACCTGCAGCAGGCGAGGATTCTAGAGCCCCTGAAGCACCTGTTACCCACTAAGGTGCTGGTGCAATCGCAAGTGCAGGCGCCGGAAGTCTCCTCCGCGGAAGCCAAGCCTAGTGTTGCTGCTGCAGTTACAGCCGAGGGTTGATGCAATCTGACCTTAAACAGTGTATTCTTGTTAGAAGTAGTATCTAAATATTCCAATATTTATATTTTCTAAAGACTCCCAAAAAGAAAAGCAAAGCTTATTGTACAGATATTTCTGGTAAGCCAAAATAAACCTTTTTCAAAGGCCATCCTTAGTCATCATAGGTATCTCTATACCTTCCCTTTTAGGGTTACATATTGTGGCTTGTGCCAGTGGCTCTTCCACTCAATCGTTCTGTTAATTTTACAAAATTTCCAAGTGACTAAATTCGCGTCGAGGAGGGACGGAGAAGATGGCGGTATAGGCCTGGTTGTGGACTGACCCACTGGGGCCATCGTTTATTCCGAGGGGCCGCGAGAGTGCAACAATATTTTTACTTTTGCGCCACCCGACGATCAAAAAGTGGCCCCCTGCGGTTGTCCAACCGCCAAAGCCAAAGCCCACGCGAAAGCCAAAGCATTGCAATCAGCTCTATCCTACCCAATGACCCTACCCACCTCCGGTAGTGCCTCCACCTCGTGCATATATCCTAACTAAAGCGTCGACATGGCAGGTCAGATTGAGTTCGGTCAGAGGCAGTCGCGGAAAAAAGCAGTCAAAGCCAGGAGACATGGAGTCGAGGGCCGCGTTTATAAGCAATTCCGCGAACAATGACCAAATTTCGGACAAAAACGGGTAAGGGTTGGGGGGGTTTCTGCCCCTTGCTGTTGTTTTTTCTTCCTGCCGTCGTTGCATCCACAGCGAATCTGAATGCAACGCAGTGCGCCGAAAATTGGAAAACATGGCAGCTGAATGGACAACCAGTGGTGGGCGGCAGGCAGGTAACAAGCTGCTCCACTGAAAGAAATATACTACGGACGAGGAGTTCTAAATAATCAATTTTTTGAGTCGATCTTCATCCTAATGTGGAAAGATATTCATTCCTTTAAGCCGTATCATTTGATACCATATCGCCCCCTTTATCCTTCCAGTGCATCCTGGATACCCTGGCATGGACATGGCCATTCAGCTCTTGGCGGGGACTCATCGTTCAACGTCAGCGCCGGATGCGTTTGTGGCCACGGCCTTTGTGGGTGCAACGCTTACCAAAGGGGTGTGGGGTGGCGGCGGTGCAGGAGCTAGAACTAAGCCCAAAGCCTAGAACTGCAGCTGGATCCTGGACGGGGGCCTCTGTATTTTTAAGTCCACCACTAAATACAAACGAAAGCACTCAAGCACAAGTTGGCCACGATTTCCCAATCGCAGGACTCTCCGGCCTATTCCACATACACACACACACACACATCCATACTCAAACCCATACAGATACGCATGTACGGCCGTAGACCAGGGTACGGTGTCCGGTGCCGGGACTCGTCATAGTACAAATGGAATTTGGGATTTTGATTGCGAATCGAAATAGATTTTGTGGTATTTGGCAAGCAGTGCGAAACAAGCGACTAACAACCTGGGTCTCTCTGTGTGTGTCTATGTCCGTATCTGTGTTTGCAATGCATGTGTATGTGTGTGTATCTGTGTGTGTTCATTTGTTACTTTGGCATGGACAACACTGCGTATACGCGCTTTATTCTGTCCGTTGATTGATTGAGTTTGTGAGGCTTTTTACACGCTCGCTGCCTTCGTTTTTGCGAGTCTCTCGTTTATTTTGCATTTTTTGAAAGTACCCCTCTGCCCCCAACACCACCACCCCCTTTTATCCCCTTCTGGCAGCCCCAAAAACTCTTTCTGTTTGCATTTGTGCCTGTTTTTGCTGGCCAGTCGCTAGCCGGCTCGTTTTAATTCGTTACCAAGTTGATTTTGTTAACCTGAAAAGCCGATTTTCCACACCTGAAAAAGTTGGCCAACAAAAAATGGTCAAGAGGTACAATAAAAAAGGACTCTACATACACTGGAGGATGGAAAAGCTCTTGTTCCTTTCGAAGATCCTTATGAATAATTAATATCTTTTTTTAAAAACATTTATTTTCTGTATTATATTTGAAATAAATAATTTAAGAATGCTCAGAATGAAGCGTATAAACCGCATAAAGTCGCTAAACGCAAGGACACGAAATGGTCGTGTCCAACCCCTGGCTATTTTTCAGGAATAAAGGATATATGGATGGGCTGGGTATTAGAAAATTAGGATGGGCTGTGGTGGGTGGACGCGCCGCTGCTGTGCCATTGTCCGGCTGCTAATTTATCGGGATAATTGCCAAATGACCAAATGGGGAGTTTTATTACACTGCCCCGTGCAGGGGGGGAACTGATGAGCCAAGCACAAAAATGGCCAGACACCCGGCTGAGTGGGGAGAGGGAGATGACCACCCCAAAAGGCTAACACATGTGGCCAGAGCCTGAACACATATATATTTGCTATTCTTTGCCCTCTGTGTGTGTATTTTTAATTGTAATTCATAAATTACATTATTTACTGACGACTCCGGGGCAGGTTAGTTAATGATGTTTCCATTTGGGGATTGTACGTGGTCGGCCGACCCTCTCAGGACTCCGGGAAGGAGTCTGGAAATCGATATGCCCTCAAAAATGGCGGCTCATAAATGTCAACTCGGAGCTGTAAACCCTGAACCCAAATTGAATTTGCCACTTAACACCGCCAGCTCCTTTTGGATTCGATTCTACTCTGATTCAATTTGGATACTTTTACTTATTCAACTTATTCGTTATGCAAAATTATTGCCGCAACGGATCGGGCGGCGATATCCTTGGTGGGGAACCAACAAAAAAATCGGCGGCTCGGCTGCTCAACGAGGTGGAAAACACCCAGGGAAACGCCAAAGTGGGGGTATGTAAATTCGCAAACAAATCACACGAGCTTGCGAAATACCCTTAGGGGAATCCTTTAGTTATCCTTTAGCGATTTTTCAAATAAACATGCATCACATTTTTCAGAAATCCACCCTCCCGGTGAGCCGATGGCTGCCAAAAGTTTGACGCGATTTTCGGGCGAGTATCAGATTTTCCTTTTTTCCCTCCCAGACTTTCCCTCCCAGGCAAGTGATGTCAATTTTCCGTCTTCTTTTCAGATACTCCCGTCTAACCAAAAAATAAAAGGAACTGCTGGAAAGTCCTTTTGCTGAAAAACAGCCAAGTTGCCAGCATAATGCGAGACATATTCTGGCTTCTAAAATGATGATGATGCTGATATCCTGTGGATACCGATAGCGACACCGACACCGACACCGATGACAATGCGAGGAGTGGAGTGCCCCTCGAGGACTTTCGGGCTGACATGTGTGGGCGCTCTGGCGGGCTAATGGCCTGCGTTGGCTGCCGCGGGCCAAACGCCCGTGACTTTGACGGATTTTGTTGGAAAATTTCGTTAGGCTTGCCTGATTAGCTCCGGGGAAATGTACACTCACACGCATCTCCCGGGGGCGCTGTGGAGAGATTTTCACTTGTCATATCACTCGGGGGATACCAGGACGAAGGGGTTGTATGGAATATGTTTAGGGTAATCAAGGAGAGATTTTAGCTCGGGAGGGGCTTGAAGTATATAGGACTTTAGTTTCTTCGAGTGTAGTTGCAAGCTTCGCTCTGGTATGACTTAATTAGCGAATGCCGGAAAATGCTTTCTGGCGGGGAACAAAAGCGAGAAACTCCAGCCAAGTGCACAGGAATGCGCGTCATTATGACAATGGCCACCTGGTTCCCCCTGGTCACCTACCCTGCCCCACCCAGTCACTCCCCTTGAGTGAAAAAAAGTGTCACGCTGCAACAAAGTTGAGGAAAAATCTGCTGCCCCTCAACCTCTATTTTCCAATAGTTTTCTATGGCTTCCTCCAGCTCAGCTTTTTCCGTTTTCTCTTTTCATTTCACAATTTTTATTCCACATATCTCGGTGGGTGTGTGTGTGTTGGTGTGTATCTGTGTATATTATATTACTGCAACGCGAACCAATAACCATCGAGCGGGCAGCTGGAGACGCTGACGCTTCAGAATGCCATTGGCTCCGGCTGCCCATCCTCGAGCTGCCCGTCCACGAACGGATCCCCGCTGACCTGATTCACCTGTCCGCACCCGAGTATCTTACGGATACAGCCGACAGCGGATGCTTCTGTGGGTTTCCGTTTTCTCCTTGTTCTCCGCATCTTTTTTCATTTTTGTTTGACTTGCCCTCCCAATTTCTTTGTATTGTGGTTATGATAGCAAAGCCACATCCCTCCAGGATCCGGTCAGCCCTGTTGTAGTCCTCAGCCCCACCCTATTTTTGTTGCTGTTATCCTTCACCCTGCTCCTCGACCCTACATTCTAGTCTCCTTTTCGTGGTCCGAGAGCAATATAATTTATTGAAGTTCTGGCATTTTTCAAAATGAAATTCTTTTTAACGATGATTGAACAACGTACGTGGTTGTGTGTCTCCTTTTTCGTATATGTATGTGTCCTCTGTCTGTGTGTGTGTGTGTGGGAGTGGGTGGTTGGAGGGTGGTCCTTTGTTATGGGTTTAGCACGTTTGGCCTGTCCATTGAACGCCATATTATTGGTCGATTGAAAAGTAAAACATTTTTTATTATCCGCACGTGTGGCAGCTCCCATTCGATTCTGCTCTTCTCCCTTCTACATCCTGTTTTTATGACTGGCAAAAAAAGGAAGAGAGAAAATATGTGAAAGACCCCAAAAAGGGCGGAGGACGAGGACGAGGTGGTCTGTGAGTGGGCGTGCTCTGACCACCTGTCGTGGCATCGGGCATCCATAAAACTTTCGACCCAACTACCCTTGGGTGCGCCGCCTTCACTTGTCCACCTCCCCCTGAGTCCCTGAGCTCCTCCGTCCATGCCCCTGCCCGGCAGGTGAGCTCATGGCTTTTATGATACCGCCCCCCAGCCCAAGTCCGAGCCTCGACCCACTTTCGGTTCCTTCATATTTGATAAGCAAGTTGGCGCTGCTTTTTCCTTGGCTTCCTTTACTGTTGCGCCCCATCAATATCCTTCAGCCACGACTCCCCCATCGGCCTCTCTCTTTCTCACCACCTCATCCTGTCTCTTTCTTTTCCTTTATTTCTCTCCTATATTTTTCTGTG